AAAAAACTTGAGGCATATAGAAAACAACTAGCACAGTGACAGAAGTGAGTCCTTCCTTATTAGTAATTACTTTCAATGTAAATAGGTTAAACTCGCCAATCAAAAGACAGAGTTTGGCAGAATGAGTAAAAACATGTGATCCAACTATATGGTGTCTACGAGAGATTCACTTGAGATCCAAAGATACAAATAAATTCAAAGTCAAAAGATGGAAATAGATATTCCATGCAAATAATAGCCAAAAGAGGACAGGGATGGCTATAATAATATCACACAAAATAGACTTCAAATTAAAAAAGGTTACAAGAAACAAAGAACAACATTACATATTAATAAAATGTTCAGTAGAGCAAGAAGATGTAGCAATTAGACATTTATGTACCTGAGGGTGGACTATCAAAATATACAAAGCAAAACCCAACAGAATTGAAGGGAGAAATAGTCTACAGTAATATCCAGAGCGTTGAAACCCTGTTCACAATAATGGCTGGAACAACCGGACAGAAGGTAAGTGAGGAAATAGAACACTTAAGTAGACCAACTAGATCTAACAGACATATACAGAACACTTTACCTAACAATAATAGCATAAGCATTTTTCTCAAGTGCACATGGGACATTTTCCAGGATAGCTATATGTTAGCCACAAATTAAGTGTCAACAGGTTTAAAAGATAGATATCATGCAAAATATCTTCTCCAGAAAGAAGGGCATGAAGTTAGAAATGAACAACATAAAAAACTAGAAAATTCACAAAATTGTGGAAATTAAACAACACACTTTTAAACAACCAGTGGATCAAAGAAGAAATCATGAGAGAAATTAGGTAATACGTAGAGATAAATTAAAATGAAAACACAGCACGTTGCAATTTATGGGAAACAGAGAAAGAAGTGCTAAGGGGGAATTTTATAGCTATAAATGCTTACATTAAAAAACAAGAGAGATCTCAAATCAACAACCTAACTTTATAACTTAAGGAACTGGAAAAAGAAGAAGAAACTAAAACCAAAGCTAGCAGAAGTTTAGAGCAGAGATAAGTAGAGAATAGGAAAACAAGAGAAAATAATGAAACCAAAAGTTGATTGTTCAAAAAGATCAACAACGTTGACACATGTTTAACTAGATGGACTAAGGAAAAAAAAAGGGAAGACTCAAATTACTAAAATCAAAAGTGAAAGTTAGGACATCACTACTGATTCTACCGAACTAAAAAGAGAGTACTGTGAAAAATTGTACACCAACAAATTGGATAACCTAGATGAAATGGACAAATTCCTAGAAACGCAAAACCTACCAAGACTAAATCACAAAGAAATAGAAAATCTAAATAGACCATAACTAGTAAGGAGACCGAATCACTAATAAAAAAATCTCCCGATAAAGAAAAGCCCTGGACCCAATGGCTTCACTGGTAAATTCTACCAAATGTTTAAAGAAGAACTAATATCAGTCCTTCTCAAACTTTTCCAAAAAACTGAAGAAGGAACACTTCCTAATTCATTCTGTGAGGTCAGCATTACCCTGATGCCAAAGCCAGACAGAGACGCTACAAGAAAAGAAAACTACAGACCATTTTCCCATATGAACATTGATTCAAAAATCCTCAACAAAATACCAGCAAACCAATTCAGCTACATATTAAAAGGATTTTATACCACGACAAAGTGGGATTTGTTCTTGGCATGCAAGGATGGTACACCATATTAACATTGATCAATATAATACACCACATTAACAAATGAAGGAAAAAACTACTCTGTCATCTTAATTGATGCAGAAAAAGCATTTGGCAAAATTCAACACATTTTCATCATAAAAAACACTCAAAAAACTAGGACTAGAACAAAACTACATCAATATAATAAAAACCATATATGAAAAACCCACAGTGAATATAATACTCAATACGAAAGACTCATGCTTTAAAGATCATGGATTAGAAGACATAATATTGTTAAAATTTTAGTGCTATCCAAAGAGATCTACAGATAGAATGCAATCCCAGTCAAAATCCCAGTGATTTTTTTCAAAAGTAGAAAACCCATCCTAAAATTCATATGGACTCTCCAGGAATCCTGAATAGCCAAAACAATCTTGAAAAGGAAGAGCAAAGCTGGAGGACTCATACTTCCTGATACCAAAACTTACTACAAACCAGTTATCGAAAGAGTGTGGTCCTGGCATACAGACAGACCTAGAGACCAATGGATAGAATAGAGAGCCCAGAAATAAACCCGCACATATGTGGTCAAATAAGTTTTGACAAGGGTGCCAAGACTATTCAATGGGAAAAGGACAGTCTTTCCAACAAATGGTGCTGGGAAAACTGGATATCCGCCTGCAAAAAAATGAACTTGGACCCTTACCTAACATCATAACAAAAGTTAACTCACAATGGATCAAAAACCTAAATATACAGTGTAAAACAGTAAAATTCTTAGACGAAAAATAGAACAAAGCCTTCATGACATTGGATTTGGCAGTGCTTTCTTGGCTATGACATCAAAAGCACAGGCAACAAAAGCATAAATAGACAAATTGGGCTTTATGAAAAATAAAAAATTTCATTCATCAAAAGACTATGAACAGTGTGAAAAAGGCAACCCACAGACTAAGAGAAAATATTTACAGATCATATCTTTGGTAATGGATTAATATCCAGAATATAGAGAGAACTTCTAAAACTCAGCAACATAAGAACAAACAACCTGATTCAAAAAATGGGCAAAGGACTTGAATAGATGTTTCTCCTAAGAAGATAGATGAATGGCCATTAGCACATGAGAATATGCTCAACATCACTAGTCATTAGGGAATCCAAGTCCAAACAACAACGAGATACCACCTCACACCTGTCAGGATGGGCAATACCAAAGAAGCAGAAAACGAGTGTTGATGAGGATGTGGGGAAATTGGAACCCTTGTCCGTTGCTGGTAGGAACGTAAATGGTGCAGCTGCTATGGAAAACACGATGGTGGTTCCTCAAAAAATTAACAATAGAATTACCATATGATCCAGCAATACCACTTCTGAGTCTTTATCCAAAAGAATCGAAAGCAGGGTCTCAAAGATATATTTGTGCATCCATGTTTATAGCAGCATTATTCACAAGAGCCAAAAGGTAGATAAATGTTCATCAACAGATGAATGGATAAGCAAAATTTGGTGTATATGTATAACGTAATATTATTCAGCCTTAAAAAGGAAAGAGATTCTGACACATGTTACAACATGGATGAACTTTGAGGACATTATGCTAAGTGAAATAAGCCAGGCACAAAAAGATAAGTACTGTATGATTTCACCCATGTGAACTTAGACCCTTACCTACAAAAATTGGTATCTAGAAAAGTCAAACTTACAACAACAGAAAGTAGAACAGGGCTTGCCAGGACTTAAGGGGAGCAGAAATGAGTTGTTTAATAGGTATAGAATTTCGATTTTGCAAGATGAAGTAGTTCTGGAGATTCGTTGCGCAACAGTATTGAATGTATTTAACGTTGCTAAACTGTACACTAAAAATGAGTTAGGTGGTAAATTTTATGTTTTACTACAATAAAGGAAAATGGAAAAAGAAAAAAGGTACCAACGTGTAACAGAATAAAAAGTTTCAGAGATTCTAATGGAGGCTTTTTAATATATTAAGAGCTTTATAGATTGGTCCACTGATTCTTTAACATGTTTGACTTTATTTTAGAACTTAGAACTTTTCCTTGATAACTGGTCATAGATAGCCGACGCTCACTTCTCTTCATCGTATTTACTGCGATTAAACTCATTTCAGGATGGGGTTGTAGGATGCTTTTAAGTGGAATGAGCAAAGAGGAAGAGAGATGTTCCTGAATTAAAGTTGGCTAACATCTCATAGAAGAGAGAGATGGACAGACAGAATATGTATTCATATTAGAGGAATGGTGGGTGGTCGAATTAGCTGGGCAGTTTTACTAGCCAGAGACAAAGTGTGGTGTGTGTTAAGCTTCTGGAGAAAAGAAGAACATGCTAAGGAAGAGGTGCTGGGTTGCTGCCCAGCCTGACGTGGCTGTGGCAACAGGTTGCGAGGCGCACAAGCAAACACCTGGCTGAACTGCTGATTTTATGTATAGGTTTGAAGTCCATAATTGAAAATTTTGATTGTAATTGGGTTTATGGTTTTGGAAATGTTCATTTTGGATATGAATCATCTTTGTTAACTCTAGTTAATATGTAGGTTAAAGTGAGACTATTTGCAAAACCCCTTACATAATGCCTAATGTGGTGTAGCTATTCAGTAAATGTTACTGCCCATGTTTGAGTGAGCTTGATTTTTTTCTGTGCTGTAAAAAGTGAGTAAGTTGACCTGAAAATTTCTGAAAGTATATTGAAATCTTTTGAAACTCTACCTTGTAAGTAATTACCATAATTTGTCTCATTCTCGTGTGTCTGTGGCATGCTATTTTTACTGTTTTCTGATGACTGACTCCTTGGAGTCAGTTCTAGGGGATCTTGTGGAATAGGAAGATCCAGAGGGTAAATTCTAAAGAGAGTCCGCTCTTTGTGGGCAGTGATGGTGAGATTTTAGAAAAGCAGATGGAGATGGAGAATTAGCCTGCAACTGGCTAAAATGGGGTTTGAGAGCTGGAAAAGGAGTGTTTTTAGTCTAACCTCTCATTTATGTCTCAGGAGATAAGTATAGAGCAGTGAGTTGTCCAGTGTCAGAGCTATGGTGGAGACGCCAGAATCAATGACTTCCTGAAGACCCTGCTATCCAAACATCATAAAGCGTTAGACTTTTGTGTTTCTACTTTTTCTTTTGAAAAGGCCGTTATTCATAACATGTACATATCCTATTAACTTTAAGAGTAGATCTTGTATATTAAATAATTTTAAATCAAATTTTTAGACTTTTGAGTTTGCTTAAGTAGGTTAACTGAACTAACAGTGCTGCCAGAATTCTCATAAGGAAAATTATTATTTTAAAAGAAATAAGAAATTCTCAACTTTTTCCTACTGTTTCCAGGTTAGGCCAGCAAACAAAGACAACATGGTGTTTTGAAGTATGATTGAACTCCTGATGCTGCAGCAGAGGCTAGGAGTATTAATGGCCAGATCTAGGTAAGTCAGAGTTTACTTAAAAATCATTAAGTCCACAAATTGTATTTTTTAAATGAGAGATTTTAATAATGTTTTCTTGAATGCAGTCATTTTGCCTCCTGATTTGCTGTCAAAGAATAAGAATAAGGACAAATGGCTTTAATTAAACAAAGACAGTGTTTGCTAATTTAAAATGCAGTCATGCGGGCCAGCCCTGATGGCCTAGTGGTTAAAATCTGCCTCACTCCACTTTATCGGCCTGGGTTCAATTCCTGGGTGTGGAACCACATCACTCGTCTGTCAGTAGCCATGCTGTGGCAGTGGCTCACGTAGAAGAGCTCAAAGGACTTAACTATATACAACTATGTACTTGGGCTTTGGGGAGGAAGAAGAAAAAGAGAAGACTGGCAACAGATGTTAGCTCTGGGCGATTCATTCCCAGCAACAAAAAAAAAGATACCATGTGTCACTTAACGACAGCGATGCTTCTGAGAAATGTATCATCAGGCGATTTTGTCTTGTGAACGTCATAGACTGCACTGAAGGGAAAAACATTTGCCACCCCAAAGTGTGTCTCTTTAACATGATTATTTTAGGCTGATTATTTCTAAGAAACAAAAGACTCAGCAAGTTTTTCTTGTTACCTTCCCCTTAATTGCCTAAAAGAATTCAGATAAAAAAACGTGTCTCAGGAAGCAAGCTATCACCTGAGCATGACATGAACTGGGTGGTGGACAGGGAGGAACCTAGAAAAGTCTGTCTGCTGGGCTCCCCTCTGTGTCTTCTGTTTCTGTGTGGCCAAACAAGCCCTTGTTTTCCAAAAGTTTGCTGCTTTTCTCCTACCTGTGAATTGTCTTCCTTCCCTTTGAAGTCCCCGACTCCCCCACCCCCAACAGCTTCTTTGTCTTTAGCAGAGGATGGTGTTTAAGGTGAGGGCTTCAGCCGTTTTGGCGAGTTCTGCAGTTTTCTTGGGTTTCTCTCATGTGTACATGTTATTAAACTTTTTTTTGTCTTTCAGTTGTTACTCTGTTCATGTCAGTTCAATTCTTAGACCAGACAGAAGAACCTAGAAGGGTGGAGGAAAATTTCTTCCTCCCCTGCAGTACTTACGCAGACCTAGACGGTACAGCCTCCTACACACCGAGGCTGGATGGTACTGATCTCATGGGACCGCTGTCATATGTGCAGTCCATTGTTGACCCAAATATTGTTATGCTGTGCATGACTGTATTCAGCAAACGTGTTGCAATGTTGATCTTCCCAAACAGTAGCTGCCTTTTGTTCTTGTTCCTTTCTTGAGGGAGCACAGTAAGTGTGTGTTTTCACTGAGTAATGAACTTGCCAGAGTAAGATGATGAGATCACATGGTCTCATCAAGTGTTTACAGTATTAGTACATGTTATTCACATTTACATAACCCAGATGTGTTCTCCAAATATTAACGTGGGCATAAATGCAGAATATCTAGCATCTGCCTTTCCCCTTGTCTAGGAGTTTGTGGCTCAAGAGGACGAGTCAGAGATGTGGATGGAAACTTCACCCGTTTCATCCACCCTCTTCTTTCTGTGCTTCTTCCTCACCAGCCCTGATGATCCATCACTTCAGACCCCTGTGTTGTCAACACCCTTTAGTTTCCTTGTCCTCTTACCCTCTGACCCTGGGTCAGTTGAACTGTGTCCCGCCCCGGACTGCTGAGCACAGCTACAGACAGTGTAGCCTGGCTCTCCAGCCTCTGCGGAGCTCTCGGCGCGGAACCCTCAGTAATCCCAGTACCTTCCTTGGGTGGCTCCTCCGTGAACCATCCCACCATTCTCTCCACGTCCCTCGTTCTGCAGACTTGCCTTGTGTGTTACAAAGGAAATGTGGGATGGACCAGGTTACCTGCTTCAGCTTCTCTTCTGTGCTCCACCCACTCTTCCTTTCTTCCTTCTCTCCTCAGCAGATGGGGCCTTCCTCGTCATCTGCACTGATTCTGAACCTGGCCCTGGAGCTCGTCTTCTCTCGCTCCCCCTCTGTCTTGATCCATCATGTAGCCCTTCTCTTTCCTTTGTTGTTTTATATATTTTTTTTTAACCTTTCCTGACCTACTGATTACAAACCTGCGTAAAGTGATGTCATCCTAACACAGTAAATAAGCAACGTATTTTCTTGTGACATCATGTTTGTCCCCCCGTCCTGCTCTACTCCTTCTTTCTCAGCTTGTTCTTGAAAGAGCAGTTCAGTCTCTGGGGGGCTGCTTCCTTGTTTCCTGTGCTCTCTGCAGTTGGGCTTCTGCCTCTGCCCCTCCACTGTGGGTGGAACCCTCCTTCTTGACGCTTTCTTGTCTTAGTTTGTGCTACTTTGACCTCTTTTTCCTCCTTCACTGACTTCTCTCTCCTCCAGTACCTACACATTTGTATTCCCCAGAATTTCAGTTGCAGACCACTCTCCATACCGTTCTAGAGCAGTGTCTTCTGTTTCATAGCTTCAAATTCTGTGTGTGTGAATATTTACCTCCTCCCTCACACCCACACTCATATACTAACTCGATTGCATGTCTCCGTTTGGTTTTCTCTGGAATCTCAATGTGACATGTCTAAGACTGAACTAATAGCCATCTCTTCCACTTGAAGACTACCAGTTTTTCTCTCTCGGGTAATGGAGCCAGCACCCTTCGTTGGCCACACTGGAACCTGCCTCTTCCTTCCTGGAGGCCTAGCCAGCCACTCAGTGCTGCTGACTTCCTCTCCTCAATCTTTCTCAAATTCGTCTTTTTCTTCTTTATTCCTACTATTTCTTCTCGGGTTTTAGGTCTTTAGCATATTTCATTTTTCAGTAGTCTCTCACTGATTTCCCTTCCTCTGAGCCAAAACCCCACTTAAATTGATCCTGCACATGGAGGAATTTAGAGTGAAGTCCTCGCCACCTCACTTTCCTGCTTAGAATTCTTCGGTGCCTTTCCATCATGCGTAGGATAAAATTCATTCTCCTTGGTGTGGCATACAAGGCTTTTGTGTCATGTACTAGGCTTTTCGTTAATTATTATTGGACTGAACTGAAGTACTCAGTGAGGTCAGAATCCCCAAGTAGGTGGCGCCACCACTCCTGTGTCCCTGCCAGCAGGGGAAGTTGCCTGTGAGGGAGGCAAGTGGAGGAATCATTTTTCTGCCCCTTTTGAGAAACAGATTAAAAATATTCCTTTGAGGCACCATCTTTTAGGATTCTTTGTTCAATTTCTGTAAAGAATGTCCTTGGGATTCTGATTGGGATAGCATTGAATCTGTAGATTGCTTTAGGTAGTATGGACATTTTAACTATGTTTATTCTTCCAATCCATGTGCATGGAATGTCTCTCCATCTCTTTATGTCGTTGTCAATTTCTTTCAAGAAAGTCTTGTAGTTTTCATTGTATAGATCCTTCACTTCCTTGGTTAAATTTATCCCAAGGTATTTTATTCTTTTTGTTGTGATTGTGAATGGGATTGAGTTCTTTTTCTGTTAGTTCATTGTTAGTGTATAGAAATGCTACTGATTTATGTATGTTGATTTTATACCCTGCTACTTTGCTGTAGTTGTTGATTGTTTCTAATAGTTTTTCTATGGATTCTTTGGGGTTTTCTATATATAAGATCATGTCGTCTGCAAACAGCGAGAGTTTTACTTCTTCATTACCTATTTGGATTCCTTTTATTTCTTTTTCCTGCCGAATTGCTCTGGCGAACACCTCCAGTACTATGTTGAATAGGAGTGGTGAAAGTGGGCACCCTTGTCTTGTTCCTGTCCTCAGAGGGATGGCTTTCAGTTTTTGTCCATTGAGTATGATGTTGGCTGTGGGTTTGTCATATATGGCCTTTATTATGTTGAGGTACTTTCCTTCTATACCCATTTTATTGAGGGTTTTTATCATAAATGGATGTTGGATCTTGTTGAATGCTTTCTCTGCATCTATTGAGATGATCATGTGGTTTTTCTTTCTCATTTTGTTAATGTAGTGTATCACGTTGATTGACTTGCGGATGTTGAACCATCCCTGTGTCCCTGGTATAAATCCCACTTGATCATGGTGTATAATCTTTTTGATGTATTGCTGCATTCGGTTTGCCAAAATTTGGTTGAGGATTTTTGCATCTATGTTCATCAGTGATATCGGCCTGTAGTTCTCCTTCTTTGTGTTGTCCTTGTCAGATTTGGGGATCAGAGAGATGTTGGCTTCATAGAATGTGTTAGGGAGTACTCCATCTTCCTCAATTTTCTGGAATAGTTTGAGAAGGATAGGTATTAAATCTTTGAATGTTTGGTAGAATTCTCCAGAGAAGCCATCTGGTCCTGGACTCTTATTTTTGGGGAGGTTTTTGATTACTGTTTCTATTTCCTTACTTGTGATTGGCCTATTCAGATTCTCGAGGCACCATCTTTTAAAGCAAAAGCTACACTGTAGGAATCTTTTAGCTCTGTATATTTGTGAGGAGGTCAGCAGTGAGGGTGGATATTTACTTTCAAGAAGGTTTTTTTTTAATGTTTCTATCAATTATCCCTTTGCTTTAGAAAAAATTTTTAAATGTTCCTTTGCCTCCTTCTCATCCTGTAATTTATTGAACGTTTATGGAGCGTGGGCTGTGTCAAGCAGTGTGCGTAGTGCCCTGGAAAATTAAGGAGATGGGCTCCCGTCTTCAGGGAGATCACAGTGAAGCAGGTGGGGAGACAGAAGCATTGCCATGGAGAGGGATCAGCACCACGACAGTCTTGTCCACTGGCCTGCGGGGACCGTCGAGGCAGCCCGCCTGGGTTGACCGGAGCCCAGATCCTCCCTCGATGCGTCACGGTTTGGCCCCTGTGTGTGTGGCGGCGCCCCGTGCTCTAGTCGCAGGGACACCCCCTGTCCCTGAAGGCGCCGCCCTCCGGCCCTTGCCTCCTGCCTGCCCTTTGATCCGTCTCAGGACCTGTTTCTGGTTTCTGCTCACCTTTTCAAGTACCAGCTCAGGTGCTGCACCCTGCCCTGCGTAACCCAGAATGTTTGTTGCTTGCCTCTCTTGCCCACAGAACTCTCCTCCTGTTCCGATAGAAGGGTTAGCTTAGTGCGTTATCCGTTTGTATCTCTCTCTCCTGTTAGACTCATGGCTTTTCAGAGGCACATGCTGTGCTTAGTCATCTTTACACCATGATGCTTAGCTGGCATATTCGTTAGAGCAAAATACCAAATAGGAGTCTTACTTAACTTTACTGTTTTGTTTATCACTTCTTTTGGCTTAAACACTAGTATACTTTTTAGTCTTCTTAATACTTATACCTGCCAGGCATTCTTTACCTTTGTTTAGTACAGTTCATTCAGCTCACAGGGGACTTAGAGCACCTACTGTGTGCTAGGTTTGTGTTAGGAACTGGGGATGCAAACATGAATAAGGGCCATCCCTGCAGGGAGGAGCTCGCTGTGGAGGGAAGAAGACAGAAGTGGACAGACAGCCTGTCACAGTTTCTGCTCAGTAGACAGTGTGAAAGGCGCTGTGACCCTGGGAAGGCTGGGGTGCTCTGGGGGATGCATAAGGAGTATAATGCACCCAGGTGCTTGGAGCCAGAGAAGGCTTGCTAAAGGCATTGCTCTCTGCGTTGAATCTTGAGAAAGGAAAGAAGCAGGAGGGGAGCAGCATGGAAGGATGTGAGGGACCAGATGCTCTGGGAAGCTGTTTGGTATGACTGGGTAGGGCTTGAGCAGAAGGAAGGGAGTCTAGACTTCATCTGTACACAAGGGCCAGATTTTAAAGGGCCTCATGTCATAGTGACGAGCTTTGAATTTTTTCCTGAAGGTCATGAAGAACCACTGAAGAATTTTAAGCAAGTTCGGATCACGTTTATGTTTTTAATGTTTAGTAACTTCCTGTGCTTCCTTCCCTGCCTCTTTTTCAAATCTTCTCACATTCGCTCTGATTCTTTCTCTTGTTTGTAAGTGACATTTTGAATTCCTCCTTTGTTCATTTGGAGTGTGGTTGAACGCTGAAAGTCACCGTAACCTCTTACCTTACACTTCTGTGGGAAAGAGAGTTAGCTACACAAGCTCTGTCAGTTTTGCCAGTGTTCTCTGTGTGAGTTACTGCTGAATTTTGGGTTGTATTTCTCTCTAATGAACTATTCCAAATTTGTTTTTGTCTTATTTACCAGTGAATTCTTGTCGGGTGGGGTACATAAAAGATACTGCAATGACTAAGAAGAATCAACATTCCTGCCAAACCACAAGTCTAGCATCCCTCTGGAAATTTATTAAAAGAGGGACATGAAATTCCTGATAAGTCGTAATTAATTCCATGAATGAACTTATTTAAATAATGTTACATGTGAGACTTTAAATTGTTTTTTTTTTTTTAGATAATTTTAAAATGGGCCAATCTTTGCAAATTAAACTGGAAATTTGAGGTTTCTGTGAAGTCTGCCTCATATTGTTCTCACTGTCACTGAGCAAACCCATCAAGCAGTTGTGTGAAATCTAGCTGCAGCTGTGCTCCCTCTTAGGCTTAATTTTCCTCATCAGAGTAACGCAGGGCGTGTGTTCCATGACTTCTAAAGTCCTTTTCTGTTTTATGATTTTCGCAGCCTACATCTAATAATTTTTTCCACCTTATCGTTCATGTAGTGTTCACATGGTCTTCTGAAGAAGCCATGGGTAGCTGTTGTAGCTGTCCAGATAAAGACACTGTCCCGGATAACCATCGGAACAAGTTTAAGGTCAGTAAGATTGTGTGAGTCCTTCTCTCGCTGCCTGCTTGGCTGTTGTCCTTCCACTTCACTTGATACCTTACACCTCACTTTTGTCTCCAGACCCTTTCATTGCCCTTTTGGTCCACTTTGCGTTTCGTGTTCTAACAAATGACGACCACGTTTTCTTACGGTGTGGAATCCTCTTTCCTTTCCCTCTGGTTCTCTGTGTCCAATTAACCATACAGTTCTGGTGATACTTTTTTTAGAGCTCCGTTCTGTAGTTGCCCTTCAGTCCCATCACCGCCTCCCTGTCACTGCTTCATGCCTGGACCATTTCTTAATAGAGCCCACCTCCCATCACCTTTGTGATCCAGCTGCGGTTGGCGTCAAGTTAATCTTCCTATTTCATCATTCTAAAACTTCCTCTTTTTCAAATCTTCTCACATTTGCTCTGGGGACTAGATGCTCTCCTCCTTACTCCTCCATAGCCATTTAGTGTCTCTCGTAGTCTGGCCTCAGTCTGCCATAAGTAATAGTCATTGGATCATAAGACCTAGGTGTCAGTCACAGCCCTGCTGCTTCATAACTTTGTGACCTTGGGCAGGTTACATTATCACTAAGTCCTTGTTTCATTTTTGTACAATGGAGAAAATAGTATTACCTGCAGTTTAGGATTGTTAAGAGGATTAAAAGGGAAACATGCATGTAAAGTGCTTTGCCCAGCCCCAGGGGAATGGCAAGTCCTCCCCACATGTTATCTAGTCTTCATAGTCTCCAGCCATTTTCCGAAACTCAGCAATGCAAGGCCTTCCCTTACGTGAACTCCACCAGTCTTGTCTTGGTCTCTCTGAAATACCTTCTTTGCCTCTGCTGTAACACTGTATCTTCAGGATGTACCCTACGACTCCTGACCCACCAGCTGTCTCTCTGAACTGCCTTTCCTGTCTAACTTTCCTTCTACCTGAGGCCCAGCCACGTCCCTCCTCTTCTTGTGTGGAGGCTTCTCCAGTAGCCCTAGGCCACCGTTCCTACCTTTTGCAGCCTCTGCTGCACTCTCTCGTCAATTAATGACATCCAGTTCTGTGGTGTTGCCTTGGTGTGGGTGCCCTGTCTTGTCTCCCCAGTGGGAACATGGGTTCCTTGGAGACAAAGTGGGTATCACGCTGCTGCATTACCCACACCCTGCACACATTGATTGACGAATGAACTGTCAAAGGAGTGAACAGCTGAGCCAGTCAGCAGCTGTGCATTTTCCTGACAAGCTGGTTAAATATGTGTGTGACTGTCAAGCGGGAGCATTATGTTCGCACTAATTAAACTTTCTTTTTTAGGTCATTAATGTGGATGATGATGGGAATGAGCTAGGTTCTGGCATAATGGAACTTACAGACACAGAACTGATTTTATACACTCGCAAGCGTGACTCGGTGAAATGGCATTACCTCTGCCTGCGACGCTATGGCTATGATTCGAATCTCTTTTCATTTGAAAGTGGTCGAAGGTGTCAAACTGGACAAGGTAGGTGGAGGCTTTGTTGTTTTTTCTCCAAACAGTATCACGGTGAAATACTGTTCTTTCAGTTATTCTAGATGTAGTGTTTAAATTAATATTTTACCTTTCTCCTGATAGAAAAAATCCCCCAAATAGTGGATTGTTAACAAAAGGGATATAGTAAACTGTGTATTCATTTGTCAAGCATTTAAGCACATTCTTTATGTCAGGAGTTTTGACTCATTTTAACTTTAAGGTTTTTAGTAAATGATTAGTCCCAGTAAATTGACTGTGTGTCTTTACTATTATACCTTGTTGGGGAAAGAACGTAAACTTTGGAATCAAACAGAACAGAGTTTGGTTTTTTTGCTACTTACAACTTGAATGGCCTTGCACAAGTCACGTGACCTTTGTCGAGCATCAAATGTCTTCTCTACCGGAGGAGAATGATAATCCTTCCCCTGCAGAATTATCATCCAAATTAAACAGATAATGACTGTAACCCTGCAGCCAGGGCCTGTGCAGTGGCAAGGGACCACGTTAGTGAGGATGAGTTGGCCCCTGTTGATAACAGCAGACTAGAGTAAGTATTCAAATCTTGTTTTTGTCTACCTTATTTGGGGCCACCTCCTTTAGACAAATGAAAATTATTCTCTCAACTTTCTCTTGGGTTTTTGTTTTGAAGCAGGGAGTATCATTAATTTATCAGACATTTATTTGAAAAGGCTTTCTTGCTATTGATGCACAGATGCTTGCTTTCCAATTCTGTTCTTTGACAGATGCTCCTGTATCTTTTTTAAGGATGGGGTAACCATTTTCCCTTCTGGTTTATATCTGCAGGGATCTTTGCCTTTAAGTGTGCCCGTGCAGAAGAGTTATTTAACATGTTGCAGGAGATTATGCAAAATAATAGTATAAATGTGGTGGAAGAGCCGGTTGTAGAAAGGAATAATCATCAGACAGAATTGGAAGTCCCCAGAACACCTCGAACACCTACAAGTAAGGACCCGTTTCCCGCTTGTATTTTGAATAATGGACATTTATTAACTACAGATTCTGGATATTTAATCTATAACATGTTGGAAATCACCTTTGGCTAATATAAGTATGATCATCAGTTTTTAAAAACTGTTAGCTATGAATATAAACATTTTTACTATTTAAATATGCAGACATTAAGTGTTCCATATTATCTAAAATGTGAATGGAAAGTTGAAGTGGAAGGGCACTGTTTGTGTTCTGACTTCTGCTGTGTCTTGCCAGAAACACTTTCCTTAATCCTCGCAGTGCAGATTGCATTCCAGTTCATTTTTTTCTCTCTGCCCTACCCCTGTGTCCTGCTTTTCTTCTTAACCAACCAACAAACAAAAACTCAGCTCCAGGATTTGCTGCTCAGAGCCTGCCTAACGGGTGTCCCCGATACCCCTCCTTTGGAGACGCCTCGTCCCGTCCCTCCAGCAGACACCCCTCTGTGGGAAGTGCCCGCCTGCCCTCCGTTGGGGAGGAGTCTACACACCCTTTGCTTGTGGCTGAGGAACAAGTAAGTGTGTCCCCCTGTCTAGCGGGTAGTAGGCTGTTGGCGTTCAAGTGGTGCCGTGCTGAGACTTGCAGATTTTAGTCAGTTTGAGTTTTAGCTTTCATTGTTTGCATGTGACTTTTGTAGTGAAGAATCAGAGGAAATAGTGTGTATTTGCTGACGTATGACCAAATAAGTACAGGTATTGCAGGCAGCTTAGCATGACAGTAGTTTGTGGGTTCACAGGAGAAGGGCGTCTGTAGATGAAGACAGACATGACTGATGGCCGGTTCCTGTTATAAGACGGCCACTGGATTGGAGTTATGTGCTTTTTGTGTCGTAGTTTTATCATTGATGGACTACTGGCAGCAGGCAGACTTTGTTGTCAGTGTTTTATGGAGCCATTTAACATTCCTGACTATTCTGTTTTTCATTTGAGGAGTGAATTATCTGGTTGAACATTGTCTATGTATTAATTAGTTATACTTATCTTTTGTGAACCTCATGGTTGTTTATCATTAAGAAATTTTTACTGTTTTAAAATTTGTTTCTTTGTATTCTTTACATAGTAAATGAATTCTTAATATTATTTGCTATAATTACATTTCCCCCAGTTTTGCATTTTATTTTTGAGCTTTTCAAATTTTATGTACAGACTTCTAAACATTTTTATATCATCCCCACCAAAATACCATTGAGCTTTTTCTAAGTAGTGATAATTTCTTAGTGGGTGATATTTATTTTATATCTATGCGTTTTACAGAACTGTTATTAAATCTAATAGGGCTTATATCTTTATATAGTTAGATCATGTGTAAATAATGATAAATTTGTCTCTTCCTTTTTAATACTTGCTGTTTATTTCTGAATTACGTTTTAATGCATTGATGAGAATTTCTACAACAAAATCAAAATGATGTATTCCTTGTTTGTTCCTGATTTTAGTTTTACAGAATGCTTCTCATGTTTCACTATCAAGTACAATGTTGCGTGTTATTTTGAAGTAGTTTTTTAATGAAGTTAGGAAGCCCTTTTTACATTCCTCCCCATCTCCTCACCTTTTTATTAGTAAAAACCGGGTACAAAGGCTTTGAAGTAAGAGTATATTTAGAGAGAAAGTTAATCAATAAAATTAACTGATGTGGTCAGACTTTTTTGTTTTATTTTTAAGCAAGTTTACTGATTCACTTTCCTGGTTTGTTTTAGGTGCACACCTATGTCAACACTACAGGTGTGCAAGAAGAGCGGAAAAACCGCACAAGTGTGCATGTCCCATTGGAGGCAAGGATTTCTAATGCTGAAAGCAATACACCAAAAGAAGAACCAAGTAATATTGAGGACAGGGACCCTCAGATTCTTCTTGAACCCGAAGGAGTCAAATTTGTCTTAGGACCAACCCCTGTTCAAAAGCAATTAATGGAAAAAGAGAAACTGGAGCAACTCGGAAGAGATCCAGTCAGTGGAGGTGGTGCAAATAGCACAGACTGGGACACTGGCTATGACAGTGATGAACGAAGAGATGCACCTGCAGTCAGTAAGCTGGTGTATGAAAATATAAATGGGCTATCCATCCCTAGTGCCTCAGGGGTCAGGAGGGGTCGTCTGACATCCACCAGTACCTCAGATACCCAGAATATCAACAACTCAGCTCAGAGAAGAACTGCATTGTTAAACTATGAAAATTTACCATCTTTGCCTCCTGTTTGGGAAGCCCGCAAGCTAAGTAGGGATGAAGACGACAATTTAGGACCAAAGACCCCATCTCTAAATGGCTACCATAGTAATCTAGATCCAATGCACAACTATGTAAATACAGAGAATGTCACAGTGCCGGCAAGTGCTCACAAGGTCGAATATTCACGGCGTCGGGACTGTACACCCACAGTCTTTAACTTTGATATCAGACGCCCAAGTTTAGAACACAGGCAGCTCAACTACATACAGGTTGATTTGGAAGGTGGCAGTGACTCTGACAACCCCCAGACTCCAAAGACGCCTACCACTCCCCTTCCACAAACCCCTACTAGGCGCACAGAGCTGTACGCTGTGATCGACATCGAGAGGACTGCCGCCATGTCGAACCTGCAGAGAGCTCTGCCTCGAGACGATGGCACGTCTAGGAAAACGAGACACAATAGTACTGACCTGCCCATGTGAGCCTGGGAAGCATTATGTTGTTTGCACCTTTGTGAAGTTTTTAAAAAGGAAGATGCAAGTGCTTCATTTTCATTTCTAAACACTAACTCCTTTTATAGACTTGATAAAATTTTTTTCTGAATATTTCATGTGCTTCTTTAACTAAAGGGAATTAATATAGAGCAGGTACTCATTAAAGAACACTAATTTCATTATCTACTACTCATTATTGTACAGCAGCATTCCCATTTTCACAGTGCCTATTTAAAATGAGAGTTGAAGTGAGTGACATGCTGGTTGATTTTTATCAATATTATGGACTTATGCATATCATTCATGTTGAAGTCATGGTTGGCATTTGAAACATTTTATAAAACCTCTTGGTAATGTGCAGTGCTAACAAATAACTCTAGGCTTTGAAGGTACTATTTGTAGATTCACTCTTCATGGTATGTGGCCCCCAGCATGTAATACGAGGAATCCTTTATTTCATTAATTGTAGGCTTTTTGACTTGAGCCAAAACAGATGGAAAGGAAGTAAAAGCACCACACCTCTGTGGATGCCAGTCAGTTCCTTGCCTTCAGTGTTACTAGAAAGAGTCCTGTTTCCGTGAATGCGGTTTGCTGTTGGTGTGTTGAAAGGCAGGAAGGAGACAAGATTTTCTGTTCACTCATCTCATGATGTCATTTGAAGGGCATGCCCAGATTCTTAATCAGAATTACAATAGGCTCAAGAATCAGTCTCAGGTCACTTTACCCAAAAGCATTTGAAAATCTGAACCATGATCTCTTGACAGTCCTTCTCTTGTGGATTATTAGCAGAAACATTGTTTTCCAGAGGCGTTTTTGCCACTAGGTTGCCGTTTACCTTCCCTTTTTTCCTTTGGTGTTGGGGTGTCTTATTTTGTTGCTTAATGTCTTTTTCAATTTGAAATGTTTGAGTTTGTATATAGTTTTGAAATTGGATTGTGTGTTCATTGTTGTTGAATTTGCATTTTTGTCCATTTGTGGTTTTGAAGGTTCATTTGGAAGTTGCTGTTATCTACAACAGGGTTGCCCTTGTCCAGTATTTATTTATATGCTGTTTACTTTTCAAGTTGATAAAAGCATTCTCTCAATTCTGAATTTCACTTGTGTCCATAGGTGATCTCTTTAGCAGCTGAGGGAAAAAAGGAAGCTATGTGTAGCATGCAGAGTCCCTGAAGGTACTGTTGTTTCCTGGGTGGGCGCCCTCCCCAGCACCTTAGGAGTGCGTCCCTTAGTACCACACTGCAGTCGTCGCGCCCAGCGCAGTGCTCCTGGCTCTGTGTCCTTGCGCTCACGACTGGAGCTTAGATTATCCCTTGATTTCAGTAGAATGGTAAGACTATTGCCAGCCTAGCAGGTACAGTGGAAGTCTTGTAGCAATGAGATTGTGTCATAATTTAGGATTTAAAATGAATTGAAGTTTATATAAACTGATGTGAATCCATATGTCTAACTCTTGGAAAATCAAAATTTTCCAGTTTCCCAAACACTAGAGAATACAAGAGAAAGTAGAGTGGAAAGAAGGTTAGGTAACCTCGCAAAATATTTTACTGTTTTCTCTAAACATGAGGAAGTTTGAAATTATGATCGGGATCTACAGATGTAACTAAGGTTAATTTCGCTTGAAATACAGCATCCAACCTGTTCAGTAAAGAACCTAATTATAGAACAGTGAATGGATTAGCAGAATAATAGAGTGGGACCATTATAAAGAAGGTAAATTATTAAAGGTGTCTTTACCCTTTTCAGTGCTGTTGGTTTACGTGCATAGCAGAATCTTCTTTTCTCCCTGTGAACTTGGTGCTTACTAAAGTGCTCACTCTTCTGTCAAAAGAGAACAGTGGTATAGGTGGGCCGTTTCCACTTTTAATATATTGTCCCATTTATGCTTGCTTCGGAGTAGATTGCTAATCGTGCCAAATTTATGTGATGATTTTTGTAATGTAGAATAAGAATTATGATGGAACCAGTACACCTGGTTTTCTCCAAAACAAGCAGTCAAGAAGAACATTAACCTCCAAATGAAAGGGCTGACCTATTTATTCATTTTGGAGGTTGGATACTTCATTTTCTTTCTTTTGCTCATCCTTTCCATTTTTCCTTCCAGATTCTAATTAGTTTTTATATTTTTTAGGTAACTCCAATATAATCATTGCAGTTTATGCTTTAAATGCTGTGTGCTTTAAAAATGAAAATGGGACCAATTTGTCTGCTAAGAATTTGGTTTTAGGTACTATGAGTATTAGGAAGATGTATACAACTGGTGTTAATTTCTAGATGTCTCTGGAAATCACCTGTGTTCCTATTTAATAAAAAGTAATGTGGAACACTCCTTGTCCTTTGCAGTAGTCTAGTATTGGGCATTAAGCTCTGTGCTGGAATAATGTACTTATTACTAGGTGCATTTTAGAATGAGATATTTTATTGGGATATAATTGTGGCCATATGTTTCAGAATTTCTGAGACAGACCTAATTTTAGATATTCTGTTCCGTTGATGGACCATGTGATCCCACTTTCTGGTTTTAGAAAAATAGTCATTGTTCATATGTCTTTCCCAAAATAGAGTCCTCTTTTATTCATATAGATCATAACAGCTTTTATCCCAGACCAGGGTTGGAAACTCATGTGGGTATGACCTGTGTTTTTTCTTAGTGTGTTTTATTTCCCAGTTTCATCTTCCTTTAAAAATGAAAATATGGTGCCTTCCCTCCCTCCAGGAAGATTGGCAAATAGTTCCTATTATTTACTGCTGCTGTGGAGTGATGAGAAATGCACTTTACTCGTGAAGATTCAGCAAAAAGCTTTTCACTTCCCAGTATATCCAGAGTAGATCACATTTGGGACTTATGAAAATTTGCCAAGCAGTCTTTGTTTTTATAGTTATTAATGTTGACCCCACAGTTCAATGTTATGTCAGGCTACTGTTTGTTTATTCTCCCCCTCCCAAAAAAAAAAAATCTGTGGCACAGCAAATAAAATGTACCTCAATAATGTTCTATTAAAAGTGGGACGGGGCCTTATGTTTTCATAATTTCCCAGTAATGTGCCACCATAGTCTTGCCTCAAGGTGAGGTTTTAACAACCATAAAAGTACTTCCCACTACCCCCCGTGCTGTTCCTAACCCTTAATACCCGTGTTTTGTGCAATGTGTAGTGTGTGTGTAAATATATATGTGTGTGCACATATATATATCCACACATCCTTGAAATAGACATGCCATCAGAGACGACATTCAGAAGTACCTGATGTACGGGCATCTCATTCATACTTCTGATATGTGAGGTATATGGTACTAATTACCTTTTCCCTCATGTTTGCCAAATTTGAATAAAGGCATTGGTACGAAATTACAGAATGTATAGAAAATGTTTTGGGCTTGAAAAATTAACAAATATTTTATGACATACCACAGTGTACTCTCCCCAAACCAGCACCCTATCTAACTTTCCTGTTCTTTACATCCCTTTTCCCATCCCTAGTCCCTTGTTTTTTGGGGGTGTAACACAGTTCTTTTGTAGCAGCGTTACAATTGCAGTGCTATGACAGTTGGACCATAATAGCATGGAAATGGACTGCTATTAAAAGTACAGTAGTCACCGCTGTGCCACCTCTGCATTAGTAAATGCAGAATATGCATTCTAGAAAGGATAAATTTTGTTATGTTTTTATTTTCCTTACGTTGTATAATATTGTAAGATTATTGTATGTCCTAATTTGCATTATAAATGTTTTTTTCCTACGTAAAGGCATAAATATAGCAACTTTGTATAAAGGTAGCTTATTAGAGTTTTAATTTTTCTTTTATAAAAAATTGTCTAACAGTGGGACTACCATTGCCAAATTGTATATGAAATATGAATTTTACCCCCTATGGTTAGTTTCTTTTATAAACATTCCATATTTCTCTAATAAAAGACATAAGTGATACTGTACTATGCATAAATCATATTTTAATGCTGTTTCATATCAGCATTTTAAATTTGGGTTTGCATTTTTAATATTGGCAAAATTTACCACTGTTGACTAAGAGCTTCTTGTGTGTGTAACAACATCCGTTGTCCTCTCTCCCTCCCCACCCTGTGTTCTGCTTCTCTCCATCAGTGCCAACTCCATCCATTTTGTAGCATGGCAATAAGATAGAGCTGTTATCCCGAGGCCGAGCGTGGCTCTTCAGAGAAGGTGGAGATGGGAGGGTTGCCCTCTCGTCGTCCTGTGCATATGACACTTGCCGTATAAACCCTGTCTCCAGGCATGAGAGTTATCTCATATATGATGTCAACATGCTTTTAAGGACAAGTGTGAATGTGCTTTTAAGCTTAATTTTTGTCATAACAAATAAGAACGAATTTTTTATCTTTGGAGAAGTCAGAGTTCTTGAAGTACAATCAAACCTTTATTAACTGGAGTACTTACAGAATAAGCTAATAATTGAATTTAGTTCAACAAGGGCTAAGCAACACATTTAAAAAAATCCTTATTTATTGTAGAGTATTAGTATACTGTCCTAAAAGTTATATGCAAAATATGGTTTCATCTTAGATGATTTAGGATCTTGCAATGCCTTACTGTTATCATTCTGGCATAAATTCCATGATGAGGTACTCAAGTTGATACTGGAAGCTGAGCTGACTATACACTGACCTTAAGCATTCGTGAAAAACTGCTTTGTTGAATAAAATCTGATCGGAGTTCTCATGGTTACTTTCCCCTTATTGCCGAAAGTAGATTGCAATAAAACCCCAATAAAACTTTGGTTGGATACCTATTTAAAGTTCTACTGTATTTATATTTCACACATTTATTGAAACTTTATGATAAGAGGTTTTATTTCTTAGTCTCATATCACTACCTGCATTTTCATAGTGAACAGCTAGTGGGTTCAGGATTACGTTTCATCAAAGGGAAATGAAATTGTAAGCATGGGGCAGACTCTCAGAGTTTTATCTGCAAGGTCATTCAAACTAGTAGTTCTCAGCTCTGGACTCCAAACCTGTCTTTAGTCATGGAGTGACACTACAAAGCATGGTTGGGTACAGCTCAGATGGAGATCATTTAAACCATGAAGGGGACAGACAAGGCCACAAATGATTGGGTGCTTACTATGTGCCAGACACCATGGAACACATAAATCAGAAACCACATCTTGGAAAACTTGGGTATTCATTTTCAGAAATTGAAAACTTCTTTGGATTATTTCTGTATCTTTCCTTTGAATTCCTTTGAAGACAGTAGCTATGAATGAATGAGCATGAAGTAGGCTCTATGCTAAAGATAGCAGTCCTTGTCCTCAAAAGAATTTGTAGTTTGGAATAGTCCTTCTAAGGGGGGCAATGCCCTTCCTCCCCCGCAAAAACTAAGCCCTAAAACATAAATTGTAAGTAAGGAATTGACTTCTCCCTGATAGCTCTAGAATGATGCTAGCTATATCCTTTAGGAGAGCTGAAAACTTGTCACTCCAATCCTTAATATAAATGATGTGATAAAGGCACACACAAAGGAAGGGCATCTAACCGAGCCTGAGAATGGAGGTTTTCGAGAAAACCTGGAGGAAGTAATCCCTGAAGTGTTTGATGAGAGCCTTTGTAGATTAGAGAAGGAGGGGAGAGGGTGTGTTAGGGAGAAGGAACAGCATGTACAAAGAAAGGCATGGAAGTGTAGAAAGATGAAGTTCCGTGGTGGCAAGGGTTCCGTATGACTGGAGCATAGGCTGCAAAGGCAGATTGGGGGATAGAGAAGAAGAGAAGTGACAAACATCACGTAGGTAGCGAAGGCTAAGGAATTTTGTTTTAATCTAAATGAGGTGAGAGCATTTGAAGGATTTGGAACATGGGAGAAATAGTTTAGGAAGATTACTCTGACATCAACATGGAGGGTATGTTAGGGGAATGGTATTTTAATAAAGCAAGGAGACTGGAAATGGAAGCAAAACTGGATAAATGCCTATTCAAAGGCATTGTTAAACGAGTGTTTAGGTTATTTATTGTGGGACAAACCATCCTAAAACTTAGTGGCTTAAAACAACAATGATTTTATTATTTCTCACATTGCTATAGATCAGGGCAGGCAGGCCCATTGAACCCACCCCAAATTACAAAACTAGTGAATGGAAGAGTTGAAATCGAAACCCACACAGCCTGGTTCCAGAAGCTGAGTGTTTGACCCCTGAGGGTGACACTGAAGGAGGGAGGAAGGTAGGAAGAGTCAAGACCGCATGCAGTGGAGGAAGTACACATCTCCTCCAGCTGTCTCTGGCTCCAGCTCCACCAGTGGCAGGGACTGCCCCCCAGCCAAAGCCCCTGGCCATGTCCCCGACTCCTCCACAGGCCAGCAGGGAGGCACGTCGGTTTCTCCATCACCCATGGTCTCGGGCCAGCCTGCCGGAGGACATCCTATTTCCTGGCATGTGATTTTGCCCACAATAAAAACAGCCATTTTCAATAGTGTGCAGGCATCTTAGCTTCTCATTGTTGTGACTCTTCTCAGTGCAGTGTGTGATCTGGGCTCTGTCCGTCAAAGTGCGTTTCCTGAAAGGAGCAGATTTTCCCACAAAGAACACAAAACTCTTAGTTGATTTAAAATAATTTGTTCAACCGGAACACCCCTTTTCATGATGGGCCTAGGGAACAGCGTAAACCAGGGTCAGCAAACGTTTTCTGCAGAGGATCCGGTAGTGAATATTTCAGGCTTTGTTGTCTGTAAGTCTGTCTCCTCTGCGCAACTCCGTCATGGTACAGCTCCGTACTGTACTGTATATACTGTACAGTATAAAAATGAAGGGGTATGCTTGTGTTCCAACAAAGCGTTATGGACGCCAAAATCGTTTCATATAATTTTAATGTATCACGAAAAGGTCTTATTTTTTATTCAACCACTTAAAACTGTAAAAACGATTCTTAACTCTCTGGCCATACAAAAACAAGCAGCAGGTTGGACTGTGGTGAAGCCCCGGTGCGAACTCCCCGTCTTAGAGGATATCCGAAGGGTAGAAACAGTTAGAAATGGAAAGCTCCTATCCACGTTACCAACCGCCCAAACCCGAGAGCCGGCTGAGGGATCGGCCAGTCCCCGGGAGGACCGGGCATCCGTACAAGACAGGAAACTGATCGTTCTTTCAAGCACAGAAGTTTTGCCTTAAAGGTCCTGGGGGTCAATTCAGAGGCCGCAGAGAAACGCACGTTTGGGGCTGGCCTCGCCCGCCGCCGCGCCGGGAGGGCCTGTCGCGCGCCGCCTCGGAGGGAGGAGCAGGTGCGGCGCAGCCCGGCGCGCCCGGGGCCCGGCCCGCCTTCCCCGAACGCTCAGTCGGCGACGTTGAAAACGAAAGCGTCAGTACAAACGTTGACAAACACGATGGTAGGTAACAAAAGAGAAATCAGAGCAGGAAGCCTTGAGTGCTGGGCTCTGGGAGACGAAGCGAGGAGGCTGGTGAATTACGTTTTCGTGACGTACTACTGCCTAACACGCTAACCGTGTCTGTGGCATCGGGGCAAATGTTTAAAGATTAAATGGAAGAACAATGAAACGCGCGAGCCGGGACGCCGTTGCTGCGGCAACCGCGCGGCGCGGCGACGCTTTTGTCCCTCGTAGGCACCACTCGCGAGCCGCGGCTCCGCGGAGCGTCAGCCCGTCCCTGCCCGCGGCAGCGGGAGACCCCGCCCCTGGCGTGACGTGTCCGCTCGGCCCCGCCCCGGCGGCCGAGCGTGTGGCGTCACTTCCGGCGTCTCTTCCTCTGGACCAGGCGCGAGTCGTGAGGGATCAGCGTGTGCGCCGCGCTCCTCGGAACCATGGTGAGCCGGCCGCGGGCCCTGGCCGCCGCCCGTCCCCCCCCCCCGCCCGCGGTCCCCCGGTCCCCAACCCTCGCGGCCCCCGGGTCCCCGGCCCCTCCGCCCGCGGCCCTCCCGCGACCCCAGCTCCCAGCACGTCCGCCCCCGGCCCTCCGGTCCCCGGTTCCTCCGCTGCCCTCTCGGCCCCCAGCGTCCCCGGGCCCGCACGTGCGCGGCGGCCAGGCCTCCTCCGGGCCGGGCTCCGGGCGGCGGCCGCCCCGCCCCGAGCCCAGAAGCTTCCAGGCGCGGGCGGCAGGCCCCGCCCTCGCGGCCGGCGGGCGGCTCCTCCTCCCGGGCCCGTGCGGCCGCGGCGGGTGGGCCCTCGCGGCGCCGCGAGCCCTCCCCAGGGGCCCCTCGCGCGTGTGCGCGTGTGCGCATGTGTCCGCGCGTGTGCACGCGGGCCCCGCGCTCACGCCGCCCCGCCCGCAGGCGTCCCTGTCCCTCGCCCCGGTGAACATCTTCAAGGCCGGCGCCGACGAGGAGAGGGCGGAGACCGCGCGCCTGTCGTCCTTCATCGGCGCCATCGCCATCGGGGACCTGGTCAAGAGCACGCTGGGGCCCAAGGGCATGGTGAGGAGGGGCGGCCGGCTTGGCTCCGGGTTGTGCTAGGGAGACGGGGGCGTGCTCTCCTCGCTGGAACCGGACCGCGCCGCGTCAGCCGCTTGGTCCCCATCCGCATCCCCGTCCCCCCGCGGTGTCGTCCCGGTGTCTGCCGTGGGTGGATGCGCGCGTCTCGTGCACCTGTTCTCTCCTGTGCGCGCTGCTTGTCGCAGACAGTGCTGCTGTGCCCTGGATGAGGTTTGCGTGTGCGTTTTCTCCACCTTGCTGTCGAAGTCCCTTTCGGTGTCAGTAGATGGACTGCGTCCTCTTTGTCAGATGGCATTCTGCGTCTTCGCTGCGTTATGCTTTACGTTTGTTAGTCTGTTGATGGAGACTTAGTTTGTGTCCATTGTTTTTGCTGTTTCAGTGCTGAAATGGCCTTTTGCGTGTTCCCCTGTTCTGGTGTTTTTAGTGGTCGACGCCGCGGTTTGCTTGTGGGGCCTGCATTGAAATAATTGGAGTGGGTGCTGCCCAGTAGCCATCCACAGTGTTTATGCCCTAGCAGTATGGGGGATGCTGAGCGGCCCATAGGGTCTTCCAGATGTGCTTACGTTGACTTGAGCCTAATATGTTCCTTTTAGGACAAAATCCTCTTAAGCAGTGGACGAGATGCCTCTCTCATGGTGACCAATGATGGTGCCACTATTCTAAAAAACATTGGTGTGGACAATCCAGCAGCTAAAGTTTTAGTTGGTGAGTCTGAAGATAGTACTTTGAAACACACTTTTAAATATGCTGTGTTGACAGACTGTATTTTTTGTTAATTGATGTCCACGTTTTAATTGGTTATTGTTCTTATTAAAATATAACCTTCTGGAGTGCCATGTAATTATTGATGGTAAAACTATTGCGTTTCAGACTGAAAAGTTCCAAAGAATTTGTCAGGTGAGGTAACCTAGATGAGTGAGATTTAGATAGTAGTGGGTTTGTTTGGAGAGTTAGATAAGCTACAGAGAAGAAATTTAAAAGTGGACTCAAATATAAATGGTACTGTAACTGGCTTTTTTTTCTAGATATGTCGAGGGTTCAAGATGATGAAGTTGGTGATGGCACTACTTCTGTTACTGTGTTAGCAGCAGAATTACTGAGGGTAAGTCTATGCGAGCAGCTGTACCTTCGTTTGATTGTTTTGTACTGTGGTTTCGAATGTCAGAAGTAATCAGGCCCTTACTTCCTCCACATTTAGTGCTGGTGAGTGTTCTCGTTGTTTCTCCACAGGAAGCAGAGTCTTTAATTGCGAAGAAGATTCATCCGCAGACCGTCATTGCAGGTTGGAGAGAAGCCACAAAGGCGGCAAGACAGGCTCTGTTGGATTCTGCAGTCGATCATGGGTTGGTAACTAGAACGCTGCTGCGTTAGACGTTTAACTTTCTTTCCAGAATATGCTCATTGCAGGAAATCTGGAGAACAGTGAAAAGCATGCACAAACATGATGTTGCCTCATCTTGCCCCAACAACGTAAAAACCCCACATTATCCTCTAGAGATGGTCACTAAATTTAAAGTTAGGTTTTCCTTTTTTGGCACATTAAATGCATTTTTGACTTAGGATATTTTCAACTTAGATTGGGTTTATTTGGATGTAACCCCATCCTAAGTCGAGGAAGATCTGTATAATTTACCTAATTGTAGTTGGAGATTATGTTTTGACAATTTTTAGCTTTATGATACGACAGACTTGGTACCCCACAAAATGTTTAAAGAAATGTAATTGCTAGGTCCAAATATGTGTGTGTATTTTAAGGCACACGTTTTTATAACTTAAATCAATTTTATTTACAAGTAATCCTCCAGAAAATGTTTATTAATTTACACTCCCTGTAGCTGTGTAACAATGCCTGTTTTGCTGTATATTTTTGAAATATCTGGTGTTATTTTGTTTGGTTGTGGGATTTTTTTTTTTTTTTTTTTTTGTAGTTTGCCAGTCTGCTGGGGGAAATAATATCCTTTAGTTTGCATTTCTTTTTAATTACTGGTGAGGTTTAATTCTTTTCATTTGACATAACCCTTCCTGGTTGGGGTGAAATTATCTATTGACACACACAGATCTGTGTGAATTTTGGAAAGTGAAATAACATCCATATCTTTGGAGAAGCATTTTAAGAACAGGCGCAAGTTTTTTGTTTGGCTGTTTTTCAGTTCTGACGAAGTTAAGTTCCGTCAAGATTTAATGAACATTGCGGGAACAACGTTGTCCTCAAAGCTGCTGACCCATCACAGAGACCACTTTACTCAGCTGGCTGTGCAGGCCGTGCTCCGACTGAAGGGCTCTGGTAACCTGGAGGCGATCCACATCATCAAGAAGCTGGGCGGGAGCCTGGCGGACTCCTACCTGGACGAGGGTGCGTGTGTGCTGGTGCTGTGGGAAGACCAGCTCTGGTGCGATGTCGAGGGCTGCATAGCCTGTTGTTAGCTCGTCAGGACTAGTGACACTTTACAAAGCTGGAGCACTTGTGTTTGTGCGTTCGTATTGCAGCCGTCTTTTGGCATTTGAATCTGTTATGTTGACAGCGTGCTTCATCGTCTGAGACCATCCCAGCATTTCTTTGATAATCTCTAGATTTTACTGTATACCGTGACATCACTCACAGTGTCTGATAAAGTTGTTGTTTTCTTTGACTACCAGTCAGCTGTTCTCAGCTGGCACTTTTTCTAGGATTACGTGTGTTCTCCAGGGAGGGTCTGGATGAGTCCTGTCGTTTAGTTGGTAGGTGTTGAGGATATCATTCTTGGTGTTCCTTTCTTTTTCTTTTTTTTCTTTTCCTGAGGAGGAAGACTGGCCCTGAGCTAACTTCTGTGCCACTCTTCCTCTATTTTGTATGCGGGGCACTGCCACAGCATGGCTTGATGAGCAGTGTGTAGGTCTGCACCCAGGATCTGAACCCACCCGCTATGCCACCAGGCTGGCCCCATTCCAGGTGTTCTTAAAGAGTGATAAGTGAGGCTTAGCAACTGCTGTTTCCTTAATAATAGTGTGTTTTGTTCTTACAGTATGAATTTTTGAAAGCATCTTTACGTTGTATTCACTTCACAGAATGGCCTATAGAAGGTGTGAGTGTTCTTTTCCATAGAGAAGGGAAAAAGGAATAAGTTGTGCTTTACAGTTTCTGCCTTACCGGTAATTTGGAGTCTCAGGTTTTGCTGCATGTCATTTGTCTCTGTTTTAAGGGAGTGGCAGTTCTGAAAGTCTTCTTGGTTGAGTTTATGTGCAGGGCTGTGTAGCATTTCTCATGGGGGCTGGCGGTAGGGAACGATGGTTACAACGAGGATGGCTGCTGCTGCTGAAGTGCTCTGTGCCAGGCTCTCTGGTGGGTGTTTTACGTAAGGTCTCACTCCTGGTGTTGACCTGGAGAATGAGAGTTAAGTCCAGATGAGTGGAGTGGAAGACCCAAGGTGACGCTGGCCACTGAGTCAGGTGAAGGTTATGTGTGCGATTCGAGAGGCCTGGAGAGGGGCAGTCCTGGGTTCAAGTGACAGTTGCGATTCAGCAGGGCCCTAGGCTGGTGGCCAGCAGCTCTTCTCCTGGGGCCGTTGGGGTTACAGAGGAGCAGCTCTCCTAGGTCGCAGCGTGCCTGCGGGCTGTGTGGGTGTGGTTGGGGTTCGCTTTGTCTGACTTAGGCGTCTAGGCATTCTCATCTTGTCACCAGCCTCAGTTCTTTCAGAAGTTCGGTGATCTCTGGCAACACCCTGCGCAGCAGGGTCTTCACAGCGTGTTTTTGCACCTGTTGGTTTTAAGCTAATGAAAGTGGACTTGGTGTCTTTACGTTGCAGCCCGCACACCTGTGTACGTGATACACATCTGAAACACAAGTTTCAAAATACCGTGTTTACTCTTTTTTCTAAAGATTGGCACCTGAGCCAACAACTATTGCCCATCTTTTTTTTCCTGCTTTTTTTCCTCCCTAAATCCCCCAAGGACATAGTTGTATATTTTAGTTGTGGGTTCTTCTAGTTGGGCTATGTGGGACGCCGCCTCAGTGTGGCCTAATGAGCAGTGCCGTGTCCTCGCCCAGCATCCAAACTGGCGAAACCCTGGGCCGCTGAAGCAGAGTGCATGAACTTAACCACTCAGACACGGGGCTGGCCCCTACCATGTTTACTCTTAATGTTTTAATATTTATGCTGTGTGCTTGTATTTTCTGTTCTGATACTATTTTTCAAACGACCTACTGAATTGATTTTTCTGATCACTAGTTTAGTGAGATCCTTTCTAGGTCCTGGGAGCTTGGTAAATGGACTTAAATGTATTCTTTGAAAGAGTAATTTGAAAAGGTAGGGGCCACCCCGTGGCCGAGTGGTTAAGTTCACATGCTCCACTTCAGCAGCCCAGGGTTTCACCAGTTTGGATCCTGGGCTCATCTGGCCGTGCTGATGTGGCGTCCCACATGCCACAACTAGAAGGACCCACAACTAAAAATACACAACTATGTACCCGGGGGCTTTGGGAGAAAAGGAAAAATAAAATCTTTGGGGGGTAGGAAACAAAAGGGTAGACAACTTTAAAAGATTTATTAATGCAGCCTTGATGTATTTAATACAATACTACCCTTTCATTGTAGGCTTTCTGTTGGATAAAAAAATTGGAGTAAATCAACCAAAGCGAATTGAAAATGCTAAAATTCTTATTGCGAATACTGGTATGGACACAGACAAAATAAAGGTATGTCAACTACATCTCTGGGAATTCTAATTGCTAGTTGCTATAAACTCAGGCGGGAATCAGTTGCGCTAAAAGAACTTAGAATATTTGTGAGTTTACAGACACAAACGTGCACATGCTTTTTGGTGTATTTATATAAGACTTCAAATATGCTATGGGACTCTGAGGAGTAATGAAAAGTGATACTAATTTTACGCTTTCCTTTATCTTAGATATTTGGTTCCCGGGTAAGAGTTGATTCTACAGCAAAGGTTGCCGAAATAGAACATGCCGAAAAGGAAAAAATGAAGGAGAAAGTTGAACGTATTCTTAAGCATGGGATAAATTGCTTTATTAACAGGTCTGTGTGTGCTTGTGCTAATTAGCACACAGTCTGAGAGGATTTTTTTTCTACAAAGACTTAGGAAAATGCTTCGTATTGAATTAGTGGTTTGTTACTGAGGAACTACTGGTTTCAAAGTATCAGAATAATTGCACAGCCAGGCACTTGCAGTGCAGTGACTTTAGTGACATGTTATGTTAGCACACTTTACTAAACCTTTTTATATTGACAGCACACTTTTCCAGTTTGGCTGTTATGTTACTGTTTTTTGCTGTAGTTTACATGTATTTGGAAGAGAGATTTAAATCCGAATGAAATGAGGGGAGTTTGAAGCGAAAAGCTTCAAAGAGCTAATAGCGTATTTGTAAAACAAGAATGAAGAGGTGAAAAATACTGAGTTTAGGGTTTATCTATAATTTGTATGAAAAGATATGGGTAAGTCTCCCCCTTGCGTCTTAGTTGTCAGTGTCTGAGGCATGTGTGGATTGTGTCACTTGGTGAAGCTGCCAAGAGGAGCAGCACGTGTCGTCAGTGAGGTGGCAGTGGCCAACTTTGAGAGGGTTAATGTTTGGGAAAGGATGATTGCTTTAGGCCGAATGTTTGTGGGCTTTTTAGGTGAGTTTCTAAACCTCTGTCATCTGTGAATCCAGTAAGATGCGTTTTGCCTAGCAGTGCTTGATACTAATTATAAAAAATTTTCTTCAGCTTTTAAGTCACAAACTTTTAAACTGATGTTTGTTTTATTGCCATTGTAGAAGGAACATCTGCTCATTTGGCAAAATAGAAAACTATAAAAAAAGGAACAGAATCTGAGGTCTTACTCCCAGGAATTCTGTTATTTTTATTGTTGACTTTTGTGTGTCTGTGTGTGATGTTCCAGTTTCAGTTTTTCACTTAGCTGTGATCATATGCTATGAACTTTTGTAACTTGCTTTTTTTCCCCTAACAGTGCATATTTTTACTTAAGATTACAAATTTTTCAAAATTGGTTGGTTGTGATTTCCACAGACATCCTCCTAGTGGATATTCAGGTCATTGGCAAGTTGTGTTGTATATAAAAATTCTTACATATACATTCAGTAAATTTTGTACTATCTAAGTTTTCTTGCTGTAGATTCTCAGGAGTGAGGTTAAAGCACAGAAACCTTGGGAGGTCTTTGGTGCGTTACTGGTAGAGTGCTTTCTGGAATTCTGGGTCAGGCTCCCGCTGGCCACAGCAGCGTGCCCAGTACTAGCGCTGTCGTTAGCTCATCGTGTGGTCAGAGACGGTGTCTTGTTCCGATTGGCATCTCTGATCCTGGTGAGGTGAGCGTGTTGCCCTGTTTTCTGTTTTGTTCCAGGCAGTTAATTTACAACTACCCTGAGCAGCTCTTCGGTGGTGCGGGTGTCATGGCCATCGAGCACGCGGACTTTGCAGGGGTGGAGCGCCTGGCTCTCGTCACAGGTACGGCCTTCGCTTCTCACAAACAGCTGTCGCTCTTGCATTTGTTGAGTGTTGGGGTGTGTGACTCACTGCTGAGAAGACACGGAAATCCCTTGAAGGACTTAGACACTACACAGTTACTCTGAAATCTGTTACACTTTTTTGATATCTTTAGTCATCTTATTTTTAACATACCATATTACATGCCAGGTTTGCCACAGGTGTAGATTTCTTTTTGTTGTGTTGTTTTGGAGATAGTAGATCTTTTCTCACAAACCCCAGGACCACTGTTCTAAACCTAGTCTGAGTAAGGCTTTAAAGGGGGTCTGAAGTCTAATCTGATTTACTTGTGTGTTTCTGTCTGTGCTGAGTGAGCAGTGCCCTGTGTGTAGTGCAGTTACAGCAGTAAGCTTCACTGAGCACTCAAGTGTACGTCAGAGAGCGGCCAAGGAAAACGTCGCTTTTGTTAACTTGTTAAAGTTTTTGAAGGTAATAAATGTTGAAATATGTGAAGCAGTCCAGCAGTTAGGATGAGAAGTTACCGTACACCAGGCCCCTTCAGTAGAGATACGAGTTGATCATCCCAGTTGTGTGAGGTAGAAAGTGCTCACAAGTACCGTGCGCCTGCATTAGAATGACACAGTGTGGCATGGGTGCTTTTTGTTGTGGTAATGGCTTTTAAAGTCACCTCCAGGTAGCCCTTGAAAAACTGAAGTATAAGAGCCTTTATTCTCTAATTTTCAGGCCCTTGAAAATGAATGAACGGGTTGAAAAGTTGGTTTGGGATCTGGCAGTCAGAACTAAGAAGGGTTTTGACATGTAAAGCCACTGGGATGTCGAATTGGATTTGGAAGTGCCATGAGGATTAGAGCAAGTTAAAGTTACTGATTATTGTAGGGGGAGAATTGGTCTCGTCTCAGAATAGGTTTAAAGCCATTTTAATAATTGGAGAAGCATAGTCTTCGCCCAATTAGATGTTTTCGTCTCACTAATTACTTTGAAGTGGGCTTACCTGCTTTAAGTTCTTTAAAAGCCATTGTGTATTTGATGATCAAGGTGACAAAACGGACGATGCTTGGGGGCCGGCCCGGTGGCGCAGCGGTTAAGTTCACCTGCTCTGCTTTGTGGGCCCAGGGTTCACTGGTTTGGATCCCTGGTGCCGACCTACGCCCCGCTTGTCAAGCCATGCTGAGGCAGGCATCCCACACATAAAGCAGAGGAAGATGGGCACGGATGTTAGCTCAGGGCCAGTCTTCCTCAGCAGAAAGAGGAGGATTGACGGCAGATGTTAGCTCAGAGCCAATCTTCCTTTAAAAAAACCAAACATACGATGCTCATGTTTCTGTAATTTCTCCTTTAATGCAACAAAATTAAAGACATAACATGAGAATCAAATGTGAATGATAGCACATTCGTGGGATAAGTTGATATCATAAGGACTTGGTACTTGAAACTGTCACGTATACCCAGAAGGAATTTTATGGCATCAAGCACACCAACTACATGGCTGTAGAGTTGACTCCCACGGTGGTTCCCATCCCTCATAGCTCATTTGGTGTCAAGATGTGTGAAATTGGTTCTTGCAGGTGTTAAATATCTTGTGAGCAGATGGAAGATGAGTGAGTGTAGGATAAGTGAAAATACTCCTAAGACTGATGAGTCTCAGTTTGGGGATTTGTCCCAGATGTCCTTCGTGTTTCACATCTAGAACACAGAGCAGTCTCAAGGATTTGCCAACCAAAAGTAAAAAGAACTTCAGCTACACAGATGACGAGCGTACATTAGTGCAGTTGGGAAGACCAGAGTCTGTGTAATAAATCGTAAGATAGCGTCTCACGTGTTCAGCAGCTGTACTGGTAAGGAGTGGGAAAAGAGGATTGGTTGATGACAGAGGGCCTCTAGTAACAGAAATGAGCTAGAGAAAAGGATTTTAAAATGAAACCCTCTTTTGCTTAATTAAGAACCATGATAGGAAATGGCTGAACCTTTTAGTTTATAGTGTGGAAGGTCGGGGGGGGGGGGTGCAGAGGGGACTAGGAGTAGAAATAAGACAAAAGGAATAAAAGGAGTTTAGCTTTCTAGCACCTCGTTAAGTTTGCTGTGGGAAATTCTGAGAGTATAAATTTCCTCATTTTTTAGGCCTTACAAGGGGCTTTCTGACAATTCAGTTACTGTGTAATAGATAATTAATTGAGTGCTCCCTATTTGAAGCAGTTCCTAATGTCTGTATGGCTGTTGGCATAATAGGAGAATTCAAATATTTTCATGTTTTGTTTTGGGAAATTGGATTGTAAGTGTGCTGGTCTCTAGATTGGATTGGGAAGAAGGTGTTCAAGTGTCATTGACCTCTGGGAGGTAGTAGTATGCAGTGTGCGCATGTGGGTCTGAAGCAGCACTGCATGGGTTTGCACCCCAGCTTCACCACACTTGTTTGAGCTACGTAAGCTTGGATAGGAAACTACGTGCACGTCCGTCTAATTTGATCATTTCTAAATGGTAGTAATGGAGCTATCTCGTTAGGGTTGTGAAGATTAAATAATTTAGTTCATGTGATGTGCGTCACAGGGTGCTTGGCATATTGTAAGCAATCAGCTTAAGAAAATGTGTTCTCTCCCTTACTGCTTGTTAGGAAACAGGAATTTGAGACCTGTTGTGCATGTAATTGATGTATGTTTATGTTCATAGGTGGTGAAATTGCCTCTACCTTTGACCACCCAGAACTGGTGAAGCTTGGGAGCTGCAAGCTTATTGAGGAGGTCATGATTGGAGAGGACAAGCTCATTCACTTTTCCGGGGTAGCCCTTGGTGAGTGATTACCTAGATCCTGCTTTAGGTTCCTAAACCTTGGCTAGGCTCTGTTGAAGTGAGAAAAGCAGTCACTGGAATGTGACAGGTCCTAATTCTTGAGAAGCATGGGGTGTGTGAATTTCAGTCTCGTGGGGTCGCCTTGCCTTCGTGAATGATGTGTATTCAACATAGGCGTTTTCTATATGATTTAACTGTTAAAACGTGCATTGTTAGAGAGGATGGGTGGTAGCAGGAGATATGTCAGCTTTCAAAACCAGAGGATGTAACCAACACCTGCACATGTAATAAAAGGAAGCTTTTATGTTTGATAGCTAAGTGGCGTGGCTGTGACACAAGGATGTCCCTTTTACCTTTAGGTGAGGCTTGCACCATTGTTCTGCGTGGTGCCACTCAGCAGATTTTAGATGAAGCAGAAAGATCTTTGCATGATGCTCTTTGTGTTCTCGCCCAAACCGTGAAGGATCCCAGAACAGTTTATGGAGGAGGTAAGCGTTTGAAAAATACAAACATGTTTCTTTTTGTTAAAGTATGGGGATGATTTTTAGCCTTAATGGTTTTTTTAAGAAACTTTATTTATATTGCCTTTGCTCTTAATTTTAGAATGTTTGCCATATCGTACGGAAAGTCAGTCATTCAGTGTCTTGGAGACAACTAAGCATAATATTTTATTGGAATTTTAATCTGTAGGCTGTTCGGAGATGCTGATGGCTCATGCTGTGACAGAGCTTGCCAGTAGGACACCAGGCAAAGAAGCTGTTGCAATGGAGTCTTATGCTAAAGCACTGAGAATGGTAAGTTAATTAAAATAAAAGATCGGAACTTAAATTTTGTGTTTATTGATTTTTAAATGAATACATTTTTCTGTCTTGGACAGAAAATGTTTACATTCTTGGCTTTAAGAAAAAGAGTGGCTTACACCACTTAAATTTGATTCTGGGGTGTATCTTCTGTATGAGCAGTAAGTAAAAGGAAGCAGGTTTTATATTGTTTCCAAATGTAGAATTTTAAAAAGCTGTGCTTGTACTTAGTGTAAATCAACTTCCTTACAGTAGAGTAGATTGTCACCATTTGTCTTCTTCACTTCGTAGTTGCCGACCATCATAGCTGACAATGCGGGCTACGACAGTGCGGATCTGGTGGCCCAGCTCCGAGCTGCCCACAGTGAAGGCAACACGACTGCCGGACTGGGTGAGGAGTCGGGAGCCGTGGAGCAGTTGGGAGGGGCTCTTCACCAGTTCTGCTCCTCTTAGAGATGAATTCTTGTAGTAACCATGTAAAAGATTCCGTTCTCCCTGGCTTTGTAACCACTATATATTCTAGAAAAATGTATAACTTCATATTCTCACCACTGCTAAAACATGGTTCGTCCATAATGGGTATAAAACTAGTTAGAAGGCTTGTAACTAGTTTGTTGTGTAATGACTAGATACGTAAACAGTATTGTATTCTGAAATAAGTCTAAACTTACTGTCTCTTATAATCAGCACTAACATTAACTCTGGATCTCACAGTAAACTTACTCTGAGACGTTCTTAAAGTGGCCACAAAGGCAGATTTAATTCAGATGGAAAGATTTCACAGCAGACTGTCTAGGGCGTGGTAGACACAGTCTTGGGGGTGGACGTCCTGTCCCTGCACAAGAGCACGCTCGGGAATGACCATCTGTCAGATGAGGTGGGACTCCCATAGGAAGGAACGCAGGTGACTTCTCGGTTCTCTTCCAGTTCTTAAGACTCCGTGGTAATCAGTGATGAGCACAGTTTCTGCAGTAATTTTGTATGTGTGTGTAGATGAAGCTGGGTGACTTAGTGTTCTGTACAACCTTTCCATTATTTGACATGATTGCCCTCCATTAAGACAGATGATCAGTATTCCTTGAGTGACAGGCTGATCATAATGCTGTAACTAAATTGAGTAATTGGGTGTTGTGATCTAATTTTTTGCAACAGGATTAATTTTATGTCAGAGGTTTTTTGTTAATTTGGTGGTTAAAACTCTGGTTGTTTCTACAGTGAACACTTTGTCTTTCCAGATATGAAGGAAGGTACCATTGGAGACATGGCAGAGCTGGGGATCACAGAAAGCTTCCAAGTGAAGCGGCAGGTTCTCCTGAGTGCGGCTGAGGCAGCAGAGGTGATTCTCCGTGTGGACAACATCATCAAGGCAGCACCGAGGTATTGTACCACTGTAAACACATTTCTTAGAAAAGACTAACATGGAAACCAAAAAGAGGTAGCTGTAGATTTCATAGTTGTTTTTGATAGAAAATGGAGCCATTTTTGCCTGGATGAAAGTATTATGCAAGTTATTTAGAATATGTAATCACAACTCTGAGATTTAAACTAGAAAAACGTGGTGGGGAGAGGTGTGGGTGACACGGCATAGCTGTCATGATTGAAGCGATGCCTCGAGCCAGGCTTGACAGGTAAGAACCAGAGAGCTTGGGGGCAGGGGGCAGTAGTGAGAACTCGGGTCTTTGTGCAGGGTGACTCAGCGCCAGTCATTCTCCATCCTGGGTCCGCTTGCCCTCTGGACGTCCGTCAGCACGGGTCTGCGCAGTTCCTGACATGTTCTTTTTCCAGCCACTTACCTAAGGTGTCAGATTCTTTTAAAAACTCATTCACACAAAAACAGTTAAGTGGCCAGAAAATCTTCGTGTTGCATTTGAAGACTCTGTTAATAATTTTAATTGTTCTTAGTAGTTAGGAAAACATTGATTCTACCTATTAGCAGTGGTTCAGGGAGACGGGAGGGAATGGTGGCCTGGACCAGGAGGCGGAGGTGAAGGTCGGGGAAGGGGGTGAGAGTAAATACGTTTTGAAGGTGGAGCCATCAGGATTCAGCGTGGGTGGGTGTAATGTGTGAGAGGAAAGGGCGTTAAGGGTATTCAAGGTTTTGTCAGGAGAAAGGAGTTTCTCTCGTCTGAGCTGGGCAGGACATTGGGAGGGAGGAGGAGCTCAGTTTTGGACATGTGGGTCGTCTCTGAGAGGTGGCTGGTATGTTGTCGGCTGGAGGAGAAGCTGGAGCTGTGGTTGTCAGTTTAGGAGTTGTCAGCCTGCACGTGGGGCTTCACGCCACGAGTCCTCAGGAGAGCAAATGTGGAGAAGGGAACCGGTTTCAGGGACTGAAAATTGAGAGTTTTAAGGCTTGAGAAGTCCAGTAATAAGTTTAGAAAGACTCAGAGCAGCCGGCAAGGGACAGTAAGAAGGACTGTCAAGTATGGATAATTGCAAAAACTGGGTGGTGGATTCAGGAGGCCTCATTTAGCCATCTCTGCTTTTGCACGTATTTGGAATTTCCATAATACTGCTATGCTAGGAGGGTGTGTGTGGGGAGGTGTGTCCCGGGAGCCACAGGAAGTGAATATTCGGGGCGGGGGGTGGACTGCCGAACTGGTGCCCAGCAGATCGAATGAGATCAGGGCTGAAGATTGGCCTTTGGTCGTGGGTCTGGCAGCAGAGGCTGTTGACGGTCCTGACAGCAGTGTCAGTGGAGCGCAGGGGGCGGACGTCTGAGTGAAGACACAGAGGCCAGGAAAGAGAAATTGGGGGAGGTGTATGTAGACCTCTTTTGGGGAGTCTTGTGTGAATGGGAGCAGATGGTGGAGGAGGTGTGGCATTCCTGTGAAAACTGTGTGTGTGAATGGAGTGATTTCAGGGAGGGAGTGGCTGGTGCAGAAGAGGGGAGCGTGCACGCAGAGGCTGCGAGGGGCCGCGAGGAGGAGGAAACAGAGGGTCGGTTTTAGACAGGAGCACGGGCTCATCCAGAGGAACAGGAGGAGCAGGAGCCTTACCAGGGAGTTAGGGTTTAACGGACTAAGTTACAGGGAGTGTCTGCAGAACCCCGCGGCGCTCCTTCCATGGCTGGCTTCCACAGATGCAGCCATCCTGTTCCTGTTAGACGGAGGAGAGGGTGGCAGAGAGTGACGTGAGTGTGGAGACAGGAGCTGAGCGGGGTTCACACCTGCTGTGGGGCAGTGAGGGAGTGGTGGGCTGTGACTCTGGAGTCCCCGCTCCTGGGTCAGGAGCCACGAGGAGCATGCAGATCTTAACGTGGAAGTTGGTGAGGGAAGAGACGTGGACAGAAACTGTTCTTGGCTGCAGTGCCACCGAAGACGGGTAAATATGGTTATGCTCCCCTTGTCTCTAAGCAGAAAGAAGCTGAGTTCTGTAAGCAGAGTTCTTTGGTGGGGGGCCAGGTCGCATAGCCACACCCCCCTCGGAAATTGACACAACGTTAGCCAGCGCCCTCAGCCACATTTGAAACAGACTCCAGCACCTTATTTGATCGGATGTCACTGTTTTAGAGCTTTACGTGTCTATTAAAAATATTAGGAATTCTGAGTAATTTGCCGTAAAGAGACAGGATGCCTTTTCTTTAGCTCAGCCTTCCCCACATGTGTTGCCTGTGGGCTGCTTCTCATCCTGGTTACTAAAACCTCTAGACGGTGCGCTGTGACAGCTGCGTGGTCGCTGTTTCTGCCTCGATGTCCTTGAATCTCACTCCCACCAGCCACTGAGGTGGGGAGGTTTCTCTCTTTCCCTGATCCCAGCATGCTGTACTCTTTGAGTCTATTTTTGTGCTTTTTCTGCTTCTCCTAACTCATATGCTTTCCTCCAGAAGCAGTTTCCACAGGCATTAAGTAAAAATGTTTCCAGGACCCCTCCCGTGCCCCCTTCCTGAGAGAGTCACTGTGTGGTCACCAGAGAATGCAGGTGTCACGTCTAAGACATGAGGTGCTTCTGGCACTTGAGGGGTCTGCCACCCCATCCAGAACCATCATCCAGAGCCCCAAAGCCTTGTCAGTTCGCGCCTTCTGGTTCAGAGTAACTGTCTTCAACAAATTTAGTAAAATTCCCTAACATGTGTTAGTTGAAAACACAAATTAACCTTTTTCTGGAGAGTACGTACTTGTTACTTGGTTGTATGGATGAGAAGTTGAGAACTGGCACATGCCTGTGGGCCTGCACGTTCCACAGGCTCTTACTGCTTCGTGCTGAAACAGTAATAATCGAGGGATGTTAGTTATGAGGTAGAAACGTCCCTGTTAGAATTCAGTTACAATGGTTTTAATAAAATTAGGATTCTGGCTGAGTTTGTCTTTAATATCAGCCTTTGGTTACAGTCCCGCTTTTCATTCTCACCGTCGCCTTTTTTCTCACGTGTGCATTTTGTCGTCCCTGCAGGAAGCGTGTCCCTGATCACCACCCCTGTTAGGCGTTCCCCTGTGCTGTGGAGCCAGGACCAGTTGAGAGCAAAGCTGTGTGTGAAAGATTTGACCTCTTGAAGAATACTGTGGAGTCGAAGTTCATCTGTGGCTGTTATATCCTTAAGTTTGGACATGTAACTGACCTTCTATTTTAACATGGGTCTAATTTATTTGCTGTTTTATTTTCCATGAAATTCGGTTGATTTAAAGGTTCACTTCTCATGCTGTGCATCAAAATAAAAATTTGAACCATTACTTAGTTCTTCCCTGTGTTTGTGATTTGTGCCAGGTTAACTCTACTTAATGGGAGTGAACATACAATCAGGGTCGAGTTGTTCCAGCCTCACTAGCGCTGGATGTTATCCATTTGCCAAGTGTTGTTATTGTGTTTTGCTCGGGAACCTTAGCCCTGCGCTAACGTCCGTTCCCAGTCCTCCTCCTCTGTTTCGTGTTTTGGTCCTTGAGCTGACGTCTGTGCCAGGCTTCCTGTTTTGTATGTGGGATGCCACCGCAGCATGGCTGACGAGTGGTGTAGGTCGACGCCTGGGATCCTGACTTGCAAACCCAGGCCGCCAAAGGGGAGCATGCTAACCTCACCACTACACCATGGGGCCGGCCCTTGCAAAGTGATTGTCTTGATCAATATAAGTCTAAGTCATGTGGGAAGCATACACTCATCTTTTGGTTCTCAGTTCTACATAACTTTTATTAACCATTTAATTTTGTTTCGTGAAAGTGCCATAACCTTTAGTGCTCATTTAATTGTGTGTGGTCTAAGTACTGCCTTATATGGGAAAAAATTATGGTGGTTTGTGTTCCTTCCAGTTTGAAGGGTTGTATTGACGTTGGTTTCGAGCTGCATGAGGCACCTCTGGTGCTCTGCGGGGTCCTCCTCTCACAGGGGAGAGCGATGTGGCCAGGCTGAGGATTGTGGCTGGTTGTCGTGTTAGGGCTTCTTGGTTTTGGCAAATGGATTCTCGAGAGAGAATGAAAATGTGTGTAAGTATGTACTGAGTTTGAAGATTTAAATGTGAATTTAGGTTTGGAGGTTGTTAATACGTCGGTGTATTGCAGAGTGCACAAGAAAAGAAACAAGGAAGCCCACCAGTAAGTTACGAGTTTACTGGGTGTCTGCCGGCATCTTGGAGAGACACTTGATTCCCACATAGGAGCAAAAGGGTTTTCAAAGCCACACTGATAAACCGCCCTGTTTTGTTTTTTGTGTAATAGTTTCTCTCTACATTTTTATTTTGTAGAAACTATTAAAACTGAAAAATTTGGTTTTCTTGGTCACAGTATTATTAGAAACGTTAATAGCAATAACATTGGTTGTGTAGTCCTTTTGTTTAAAGTACTTTATCACACACAACATCACTTTTCATCCCACAACTCAGGTAGGTGGAGCCAGTGAGCAGATGGCCCAGAGGTTTCGGGGCAGGTGGGTTTAAACATGTGAGGGGCCAGACAGTCTGCGTGGGCTCTTCACCTGAGTGGATTCGGGCCGTTTTCTCCAAGGACTTAAAAAGGCTACGCCAGTAAGCATTGAAGTTTGTCTAAAAAGAGGCAGAAACATGGAGATTCATCGTTACATCCAAGACCACACCTCTGCCCCTTTCCCTCTTTGAATTCATACTATTTGAAACTCTTACAGGTTTTGTTGTCATAAACCTAGAATAGGCCCAGTTCACACATTTTAAGGTCTTTTGAGTTTCAGAGATGAAGTACCGGCCTAGGCCCCTCGCATCCCTGTGTAAGCTTTAGGATGGAGTTTCTTCTAACTCAGAAACAGCGAATACGGAGGCAGTGTGTCTGCATTTTCACAAGACGTGACATGGAGATAGTCATTCGCAAAGTACGTTGTCATTCCTGCATGGAGAGCTGTGCTGGCAGCCTCCGGTTCTCTGAAGAAGGCTGGGGTCTTGCTCTTCTCCAGCCCGGATCCCCAGGATCCGCTCCTGGGGTCCCCTGCTCCCTGGGCAGGAATGCTCCCTGGGCGTGGCTTCCTGCTGTGTAACTAGCAGGCTGTGGGGAGGGGGAATCGGTGTTTTCTTCCCGCTTTTGCTCCTCGGCTCCGGGAGTGGCCGCCTCCCTGCGGGACCCACCGCCACGGCTTTGACTGGATTTGGGTAATGTCTCTATTCCCTGTTCATTCTGCCTCATGGGTGGTGACAGCTGCTGCTCTGGCTCGTGTCTGGGCGCCTGAGTATTGCCTTGATTCTGTTCCCCTTTAATCCTGTCTGGTGGCAATTCCTTCGTGAAAGTCCCTGCGTGTAGCCGGGTGGGTGAATGCAGGTTCCTGCCAGCACACAGGATAAAAGCCAACAGAATGCTCTTGTATGGGGTCCTTCTGAAGTCAGCCTTGTGCCTCCTGCAGTGGATTAGAGCATGAATAGAACAGAAGAGGACAAAGGACTCACCCTTTCTTAAATCCAGAATTCCTGTAGAACATTTCAGATTCTCAATGTGAGGAAGAAAGTCTAACCTGATTGCGGATGCCTCATTTTTAAATTGTGAGCAGTACGCAACCCCCCTTTCAAAGGGGTATTGAAGAGACGACGTGAATTAACCTACATGAGACCGTTAGGGCAGTACCTGACCTGCAGCTCCGTGTGTCAGTCTGTCCCCGCGTCCTGTGGCCTAGGTGCGTGACAAAGTCTCTGAAGTTCAGGTAACGTGGTGCAATCATACGGGGCACTGGGGATTCAAAGATCAGTGTCCTCTGGTTCTGTTCCCCAGAACGGACGGTCCAGAGACAGAGAAGCCTGTGAACTTAGTTGTTTCTCAGTGGCGATAACATCCTTTCTACAGGAGTGAGAGTACAAGCTGTATGCATTTTTTTACAGTGACAAAAGGCAGAGAGTAGTGTCCACGGACACACCCGTGTCTTCAGTCCCGTGCCTCCTGCCCCATGACGCATATGAGTTTAGTGCCAAGGAATAAGCTCACGTTTTCAAAGACCTGGCGATTTTGCAAATTCTAGAATAACATAGGAAAAGGGCCAAGTGTATTCATTCAGAAATTTGATTAGGGAATCTTTGGTCATCGTGCTGTGATTGCCTGTTTAGGTGGCCGGAAGCATGGGACCACATTGCAGTTGTATTTCTTATATTCAAGACTATAGGGACTGTTGTTGAAAATTTTACTGAGAGGCAAAGCTTTTCTGTTCTGTTGCCGTTGACGTTTCTAACCTCAAGCGAGGAACTGTACTGATTGTGGGGTAGATGTGGGGACTGTGCTGTGTGGCTAACACTTCACAGGACGTGATGCGTGAGGCTGGCCGCCCTGCCAGGCACTGCTGTCTGCCCTTTGTACGTGGCAGCTTGTTTAGTCCTTGCAGTGCCCCCAGAGGGACACTTCCCATTCACTGAGGAGGAAACCGAGGCCACAGATGCTAACTGGCCTGTGGACGGTGAAGCTGGGATGTGAACTCGGGTGGTCTGAGGGGCCGTGCCCTCGCCGGCCTGCTGCCGCCTCTGGGTTGCTGTGTGTGGTGCGTGCTGTCAGTTAAAGCTTGAGTCTAGATGATTTTTAGGGCACAAGCCCACTTTTTAAGTGAAATTACAAACTTAGCGATGTTACATTTTAAGACAACACTTTGGTTCGTTTCCACAGGATCCGTGTTAAAGGTTTAATTGGCGTCCTGTGTATTTATGGAAGTTGAAATCCTGTGTGAACTTCTGGAAGAGATTTTCCTCTGGTGCACAGCACTTTGGGTTTTGGACTTGTAAAATCACGAGTGGGAAAGCCACATGTGGTGCTTCAAAATTTTCCCCTTTTTAGCTTTCTAATTATGTCAGAATTGCAAGAAAACATCAGGATTATGGAAATGTAAATATGCATTTACATAGTTACCTTGTAAAATTGATTGAAACCCTATAGTGAAAACAATTGTGGACAGCAAAATCAGTGGGGAACACATAACCATTTTATTTGGGAAATGTTTATTGGTTGTATGTTGATTACTTTAGAAGAAAACAGCTTGACTGTGTGCCAAAATGTTGGTAATTTGACATTGGAATCAGACCGGTTCGCTCGTTAGGTGAGCCCTCTGTCTAGGTCAGTCGGCTTCACTCAGTTTTAGGGCTGTAGCCTGCGGCTGCTCTGGAAAAGGTGACCCGCTGAGCTGGGAGGGGAGGGCTGGGTCAAAAGAAGATCGCAGCCCGTGTAAGGCTGGCTGCATACGGCTCAGAGTGCCGGCCTGTTGGCAGAAAGTGTCCAGCATCGACTGAGTATAGTTTAGATAGTCATTAGGAATGAGAATAGGCTGGAAATCCTGGCTGCCTGATAGAGCTCTGGACGTGCTACTAAAGGAGTTAAATGTTTGACAACCTGGTACATCTGATGGGTGAAGGGACCCTTTGGCAGCCTGCTCAGCAGGTACTCTACACACTGGGAGGTGGCACCAGGGAGAGACCACCGTGTGATCCCGTGAAACTCTTCTGGTTTAGCAAGAAGTATTTGTGGTAGGAAAAGAGTCCATGTGTAGTGTCATTTTAGAACCAAACTTGGCTGGGTTAAGATGCTTTTATGGCAAAAGTACTTTTTTTCTTTTGGTGAGAAAGATTGGCCCTGAGGTAACGTCTGTGCCCATCTTCCTCTGTTTTGGACTTGGGAGGGCCGCCACAGCATGGCTTGGTAAGCGGTGGGTAGGTCTGTGCCCAGGATCCAAACCCGTGAACCCTGGGCCACCAAAGTGGAGCATGTGAACCCAACCACTATGCCGCTGGGCTGGCCTTGGAAAGTACTTTTTTAAGCTAAATGCAGTATTAGCCAAGATGACACCTTTTGTGTCTTTGATTGCTGAAAATGTTCAAGAACATAAAGGATTGTGTTGTTAAGTCACCCACTGACAGCCGTGTCTTTAAAGTTGATGTATTCACGGGAAGAGGAGAAGGTCACGGTTTACACACTTCAAAAAAGGAACGACCAGAATACCTGGGTTTACACGCAGACCGTCGAAAGGCCCTACCTACAAAAACCAAAGCGAGTCACCGCGAAAGCAGAGGCGCTGATGCCAACGTGGCCGGGCCTCCTGTGCCCAGGCCTGCGGCTCATGTTTCCAGGTGCTCCGTCCAGGTGAACCGGCTTCCCACCTGCTACCCTCAACCCACTGTGATCCTGGAAATGCGGTTTCCCTCCCCAGAAGGACTCGCGTCAGCTCTGGTTCGTCAGTGTGAACAGGGCTCTGCTCCACGGAGTGCAGGATTACGCCCTCTCGGGCCTGCTCATCATGAGGCCACACTGCCAAAGGTCAGCCTTCTAGATGCTGAGGGTGCCTGACTGGAGACAGTGGGGAGCAGCCCTCGGCTCAAAGCTTTGAGGGAAGATGAGCTAAACCAGTGAGTGTTGCTGTTGGTTTAAAGCGGCAGCTGGGCACCAGGAGGCCTTCTCCCAGCAGGGGGGTCGTCTTCTCAGCAGTCGCCAAATGCAGGGGAAAGCATCCCGGGCCTTGGCAACAGCGGAGTGTGGAGTCTGGCTGACCGACTCAATAGAAATGTCCTTTTTTAAGTGGCCTGAACTGGCAATTTTTCATACTGTTTATGGTCGTTTGTAGTAAGAAGATAGACCCCACGAGGGGCTGGGGACGGGCCCCCTGAACTTGAGTGGGATCTGTTCAGATCCCTTATTTGAGGAGCTCAAAGCCTCACGACGAGCCCCTGCTGGTGTGCTTTCCAGCCCTGCCCGCCCCTCGGGGTTTCAAGTACCTGCTTGGAGAGGCTGATCTTGCCAAGAGGTCGTCCTGTGTCCTTCTTCCTCCAGCACACAGCTTCCCTGGGGAGAGATGTTGTTGCCAGCAACATTTCCTTCTGATGTGGCTTAGGCTTTTTGTCTGACTCCGTCAGCCCCCGCTGGCGGAGACACCCAGGCTCACAGAGCCACAGAGAGAGCTCTGGAAGATGCTGGAGTTGGGTCCTTGGCATCGACCTACACGTGGAGCTCCTCAGGAGTGGGTGGGCGGAAGTGGAGGAGGGCGGGGGCCTGTGCATCCTGGCTGTCCTCCTGGGCCAGTGCATAGCGCCGGGCCTTCCTGGGGTCTGGCTCCGGCGTCTCCTCCGCCCACCTGCCCACGCGCCGCACGCCTTTGGCCACCTTAGGTGCGTTCCTGCAAGGATTGTGGTCGTAGATGACCAGCTTCAGACTGGACAGGTGGGCCAGGCTGGGGAAGTAGCGGATGCTGTTCCAGTCCACGTCGATCACCTCCAGGAAGGGCATGTGCAGCAGCACGGGCGGGAAGTCGGTCAGCAGGTTGCCTGAGAGCCAGATGGTCCTGAGCTCGCGGAGGCGCCGCAGCTGGGCCGGCAGCAGACGCAGGGCATTGGAGCCAGCGTGCAGGGTCCGGAGGAGGCTCAGCTCACAGACCACGTCCGGCAGCTGGGTGAGGTAGTTGGCCTCCACCCACAGGGTCCGGAGATTCTGGAGCAGACTCAGCTCCCGAGGGAGGTCGCAGAGTTTGTTGTTGCCCAGGTAGAGGATGCAGAGCTGTTTCAAGGTGCACACCACCTGGGGCAGGGCCTTGAAGTGGTTGAAGTCCAGGGCCAGCACCTGCAGGTTCTGCAGCTGCCCCAGCTCCGGAGGCAGGCTGCTGAGGTGGTTGTCACTCAGGTAGAGCTTGACCAGCCCCCGGAAGGAGCCCACGAGCAGGGGGAAGCGGCGGAGCTGGCACCCACTCAGGTCCACCGTCCTGTCCAGCGGCATCTCCCTGAGGTCTCCCACCACGTAGTTCTGGCAGCGCTCGGCAGGGACGAAGGCCACCAGGGCCCTGATGGTGTTCCCCATGCCGAGGCCGGAGGCCTGGCGTGCCCCAGCCCACTGGCCACGGGCTGCCGCTGGCTGGCCTGCGCCTGCCCTCCCCTCCCGTTATAACCTGGCGGCTGCGTGACAAAAGCCAGTCACGTCAACAGAGAAAAGTGCTCCTGATAGTGACTTGAGTGTCGGGTGACAGGCCCCCCGGTCCGGCGGGGGCCCGGAGGCTGGGTCTGACTCACACACTTGTTCCCATCGCCGAAGCCCCAAATTCCTTATCAACATTTTTGTGTTTGTTTCTTTAAGTTGAAAATAGCTTCACTGTTTTTTTCTAATGATAAAACCTTGAGACGTCACATAAGGTTGTAAGAGGAGCCGGTGAAAAATCCCAGTCGTACCATCAGCGATGGACCTGGAAACGCTTCAATGAATGGCCTCCAGTGTTCTTGCCACAAGTAATCAATTTGTTTAAAAAACATTATTTACGCTGTTTAGGAGTCTTATTTTTTATCCTAACATATTTTCGTTTGCGGGTATCCATGCAACTGTTTTAAACACCTGCATGGTGTTCCATTGTATGGAGGCACCGTAATTTGAACAGCTCTCATTATTGGGCGTAGGGTGGCTTACAACGTGTCACTATTATAAATATCCTCACACGTCCAGCGTGAACAGCTGCCCCCCGGTTTCTTTAGGAAATGTCTGTAGAGGCATAACGGGGTCCGAGATCTGCGCCCCTTAAAGGCTTCGCCTTGATAGCGCCTCCCCTCACCCGCAACCTGAACCAGGGGACACACACGACAGGGGTCCATCTTCTTCTTTCTTCATTCTTGCCAGGTAATAGTTTAAAAATTTCCCTTTCACAAAAGACAAGTAGAAAATCAAAGAAAGAGGAGGAAAACCAGCCTCCTAAAGCTGCGATGAACGAGGGCTTCTTCCTCCGTGGCGTCGGCGTCAGATGTGGCTCCCTGCCCGTCGGAGGTCTGTGCTCCACTCCCAAGTGTCGAGTTGTGGGAAGCCGCTGTCCAGCCAGGACACTTCCTGGTACTGGTCTAGGGCAGGGAGTCTAATTCTGGCCAACAGAATGTGGGCAGAAGTGACGGATGTCACCACTAGGCCTGGCTCATTTAGAACAAACCTTGCCTTCCTCCACACTCTTTCCCCATCTGCTGCCTGGATGTGGACAGCCAGGGTGACCTTAGAAGCCACCTTGGAAGTCTCATGTTGAAGTTGGCAGGGCCTTGGTCACCCTGGGTCCCTGAACAGGTGCCAGCGTCAGAACACCCCACACACACTCCCTGCTACCAGTTGGATTCTGGTAAATGAGAAACTTCACCTTTGTTAAGCTATCCCATCTGGGGCTTATCTATCACGTTCTCTTAAAGAATAGAGGCGTTGTTAAAAACGAGGGGCTCATCTACGTATACTGATGTGCAAAGGTGTCAGGATAAGTGAAGTAAACAAAGTGAGTTTCAGACCAGTTTTTTATGATCCCGTTTGAAAAACCACGCCTACGTCTGCTGTACACACAGGAGGGTCTGCAGTGTGTAGCAGGGTCATCTCCAGGGGTCTGCCCCGAGGTCCGAGGGTCAGCAGGATGCCGACTTTTCCATGTACACCCTCCTGTACTGTTGATTTTTTTTTAACTATGGACATCTATTACTTTTAGAAACTCTGTTCCAAAAGAAACAGCCTAACAGCCTGCCTGCTCTCAGACAGCGTCCGGGGTTGGGGGAGGCTGGATGCCTCCACGGTCCTTCTGCTAAATTGCTTCTAACAGACTGAATGAGCAAGAGCCGAGATGCCAAGGACTGGTGTGCACAGAGCCGCTGCTGCAGTGTCACCACGGCTGGGGCCCTTCCACACGGTGCAGGTCGAGGGCTGGCATCCGAGCTCTCGCCCGCTTTGTCGATTGGCCCTGTAATAACCAGCCTCTCGACAGGACCTGTGCTTTGCCCCTATATTTAGTGTGGCTCGAGGTGACCACAAATGGTCATGCAGCGGTGCCCTGATGTCCTCCCTTGGGATGGTAATGATATAATGATTGCCACCTGTTATCATCTAAGACTTACCTGCTAAATTCTAAGCGCTGTGCCGGGCGCTTCACCTGTCTCTGCTCACAACTCCTGGCACATAAGTATTTTTACCTCCAATTTTCAGATGAGAAAACTGAGGCTCAGATAGAGTAAATAGTGACATCAAATGTTTACGGAGCTCCCAGTGTTCTCAGTGTGGGGAGTCCGGGCTGACAGACAGGACCCTGCTCTCACAGACACACGGTTCCACCAGAGCAGGAGGGGTCCTCGTCCTGGAGGCGGGTCACACAAGTCGACAAACTCCACCCATACAGGACTTCCCCTCAGCCCTCTAATGCCAGCCCCTAAATACAAGCGGGTAGCTGACGATAACCAAACCCTTGAGAAAGGCTCTTAGACAAAAGATGGAGATGGGAATAAGCAGAAAAAAAGAAATCAAGAAGCAAGAACGATGGATAGAACAGCAGAGAAGCATAACGAATTATACTGCCGTACATTCAGAGTTCACAAGAGCGCACGTGTGCTGGCCATGGCACTGTCAGCTCATCCAATCCTCCCGGCAACCCTGAAACGTAGGGACTCATTCCCATGGATGGCTGAGGGAGCTGGGGGACCAGGAGGTGATGGAACGTGAACAAGCTAGTAGGTAGCGGAGACGAGATTTGAACCCCACTCGCCTGCTCGATAATCCATGTCCTGGATACTGTGCCTGCTGTTGGATGACATAACACCCATGAAAAGAGCAGGGCACTATTTTTAAAAAAAAAAAAAAACAAAGAAATATTCTAAGAACATGAAAAAATTCTTAGAAATAAAATTTTGAAAAAAGCACAATTTAAAAATACTGTAGAAGGAAAATAATATGGTAGTTCCTCAAAAAACTAAAAATAGAATGACCATATGATCCGGGAATCCCACCTCAGGGTATATGTGGAAAAGAACTGAAAGCAGAGTCTCAGAGAGGGATCGTACACTCATGTTCACAGCAGCATTTTTCACAATAGCCGACTGTCCATTGATGGATGCATGGATAAACAAAATGCATGTGTTTGTACAATGGACTATTAGCCCTGAAAAGGAAGGAAATTCTGACACCTGCTACAACATGGATGAACCCTGAAAACATGTGCTCAGTGAAACAAGCCAGTGACAGAAAGACAAATGCTGTGTGATTTCACTCATATGAGGTACCCAGAGGAGTCCATCCCATAAAAATAGAAGGTGGGGCCAGCTCGGTGGCACAGCGGTTAAGTGCACACGTTCCGCTTTGGCGGCCTGGGGCTTGCTGGTTCGGATCCCAGGTGTGGACATGGCACTGCTTGGCAAGCCATGCTGTAGTAGGCGTCCCACATATAAACTGGAGGAAGAAGGGCATGGATGTGAGCTCAGGGCCAGTCTTCCTCAGCAAAAAGGGGAGGATTGGCAGCAGTTAGCTCAGGGCTAATCTTCCTAAAAAAAAAAGACTTTGAATGGAAGATTTACAATCGTAAGACCTTTGAAAGAATCGAGTAACATTCAATGTGACAGCCGTACCAGCAGGCGACAGTGCTATTCAGCAGGAAAATGGCATGTCAGTTAAACATTAGTGGGTAAGAACTATTTCTATGAGTTACTAACACACATTTATTGAAACGAAATGAAAGCAGTCCACCCAAACAGGAATCTTACCAGGTAGCATTTGTGTAATCTGGTTCTGTATGTGCTTAAAACTAGGGGAAAAAAAACAGATTTCCTTTTGCTATAATCCGTAATTGAGATTTTTGATTAACTCAGACTCCTGCTACGCTATTTTGGTTAACGCCATGGCAGTCGAATTTAGTTAAGCCCGAAGGCTTTGATATTAAAGAGACCTCGTACGGTTTGAATCCAGACTCTGCTGATTTATCAGTCTGGGGGCTTTGGACAAAGTTTCTGTGCCTTGGGCTCCTCATCTGTAGAACGGGCATTTTCCCGGGTCGCCTCTCGGGTCACTGTGAGGACTGCGTGAGGCAACGTAATTCACGGAGTCCGCAGGGCCTCTGACGGTGCTGCTTCGAGCTGGTGTTGCTGCTGTGCTCTCCTGGAGGCTGCGCTGGGTTCCGCGAAGAGCGAGTGAGCAGCTCTGTGCTCTGCCACTCGCAGGCTGAGCCCTGAGCAAGGCCGGGGCTGGGCGGCCCCCGTCAGCGGGCGTGGAGCTGGGTTTTACAGGATTTGATGGGAAGGGCGTCTGGGCACGTTCACCCAGCACCGAGGCGAGGACGACACAGAGCTGGCACAGGCTAAGTGTGTGTGAGCTACCGGACGGGGGCGCTGAGTGCTTGAAGAGGGGCGAGTGCATATTAAATTAAAAAACATACAGCCTCCCCAAATAGACGGAACCCAATGTGAGTCTTTATCATAGTCACTTAGGAGAATGACAAGGGAGAGGTCACTTTCATGCCGCCCAGCAATTCTTCTTAAGACTCCCCTGCCTGCCTTTCCCTCCTCCATCTCCCACCCAGAGCCCCTCCGGGCACCAGCCCCGAGTGCTGCCCCAGGCTGCAGGTGGTGCAGCCCCCTCTAGCCTCCCCCACCCCAACCCCTGAAGGGTCACCCCTCAGTCTCACCCAGCCCCCTTGGTGGCCATTTACTTCCTCCCCAGACACCCCGCAGCTCTTTGGGAATGCAGCACCTGTAGCCCTTCCAGGTCTTTCTCCGGATTGCATCATCTCAACTTGCATAATAAGGACCCAAAGCCCTTGGGAAGCCTCTCGCAGGCGCCTCCCAGGTGGCAGCCACCAGAAGTCGGGCAACTCCGAGCCCCGTCGCCTGTGGTGGACGCTCAGCACTGGTTTCCTCCTTCCAGAGCCCCTTCTGCCCTCCCCTCTCCTTCCCGGGGTTCAGGCACAAGCATTTCCCAGAGAGCCAGTTTCCAGGACGAAAGAGCCCATCCTTTTAACTGAGGGCCACCTTTACTGACGGAGGGGGCCCCGAGCCCCTCCCCACGGCGCGGACTGTGGGGTTCAACTGCTTAGCCCGGGTTTGTCCCGCGCTGGCAGCTGCTGCGTGGGATCAGGTTTCCAGTGCTGAGACGTCCCAACATGGTGGCTCACGACGGACTGTGCGTGGCCCGACTGGTTCATCGACCATCTAGGTTGTTGACCTGTCCACGGCAGAAGGACAGCCTGTTGACCTGATGGCATCTCTTGGCCCCCAAGACCCTCTTTGCAGTCCCTGGCAGGGCCTCTCTGGCCACAGGTGTCTGTGACCGTCTGAAACACCTCACGTGACCTGTGGGAGCATCACCTCAGGCCCCAGAGAGCTCTGCCCCCGGGGTGTGCTCAGGGCGCAGCGCGGCCAAGAAGTGAAGCCGATGGTAAAAGTCCCTGAGAAAGACCGTCCGACAGTGGCCGGAGAGGGAGCGAGGGACGGGGAGAGAGGCCTGTGCCCCACGTGGACGCGCTCCGGCTGGTCCCCAGCGCTCTACACTCACTGTCCATTGCTCGGGGCACCAGGGCTGAGACCCAAGGCCTCATCTCTGCTGAGCCCGCCCCGCACCCCTCGTCTCCCACTGTCAGCCGCAGCCCCTCCTCCTGGGGCCCTCACAGCACCGCCGCCGCCAACTCCAGCCTGGCAGGGGCCGCCAGGGGGCTACCCCCCTTCTCCGAACGCGGCCTTCCACCCATCAGGCCTGGCCCTGCAGACTGAGGCCTGGACGGCCGCCCCACCGCCACCCCCTCTTCACTCTTGTCATCTGTGCTGTCCCGCCCCCCGTCACTTCCTTGCCTGCAGCTGGGCGAGTCATCTGACGACATGCAGGCAGAACACCCTCTGTGGGGTTCACGGC